CCCCGTCTATTAGACTGATACAATGAGCGAAGAAATGAACGTAACATTCAATTCGTTCATTAATCGTTAGTAAGATATGATCAATAACCATCTTATTTCTATTTGAAGTGAAGTTGGGGGTGTTGAAGTCAACAACTCTTGACTTGAATTGAAACATCTGTAAATGAGGCTAATCAACTTATTGAACCCTGAATCATCACGTAGCACCTGTTCCAAATTTCATCGCTTAGCGCCCAATGCCTATTTTAACATATTAAAAAATAACTCAAGAAATATTCATAAATAAATAGTAAAAATCGTGAAAATCACGATAAGTTAAGTCAAAAGGAATAATAGATTTTGATATCATATACCTTAATTCAAAGGTTGATAGATACCGTTATACTTCCCATGATTATTAAGCTGTGTCCATTTCTATGGACCCCGAAGTCAGCCGCAAATGGAATTGTGACTGACTCCAGTAGATTGTGACTGACTTTTGCAACCAGTTGAAAAATTGCAATTTCGATTATTGATTCAAAATCAGTAAAGGACACCTTCTCTTTAGGACCCTTAAACTTAACTGTCCAGAAAGCTAAGCTAAAACAGGTATCAAGTAGTAAGCACCATGTTCTATTATACAATTACTTGCATAAGGGTTTTCAACTAGTTGAGAAAAACTCGACGACTGGTGAATAAAATATGACTGACGATTTCAAATAATTGTGGCGACTTTGGTTCCTACATTTCTAAATAGAATTAGCAACACTTTAGAAATTGACAATGTTGGTAGTAACCGTGTGCATGGTATACGGGTGTCACATTGTCCCTTCGAGGAACGGATAAGACCAGATATTTTGTCGGGCTAATTGAGTGTTGAAATTTGAAATGGTAATCAATAATCGATCTCACTGAAATAAACTGACTAAACTATCTCTAAAATTGACTTTATTTGAACAAACATGCAATAAGAAATGTACGAAAGTCGCAAAATTCCTTAAAAAATACCTCAACTAGAAATTTCTCTTTTTTCCAGACTAAAATTGAGTTACCCAAAAATTGTTCGTCTTGTTGATAAGGTTTATAATAGGAAATATGGTGTAGTTTTTGATTATCCAGTCTTTAACCATTCTACATTCAGGAGGAGTCGTCATTGTAGTTTTCAAACACGAATAATTATGGATACACGCGGCTAAACGTTGACGATAAACTGAACAATTCTCAACACTTAAACCAAGGTGAACATTGCCCTTAAATCGATATTCTTTTGGTCATTATTGAGCTATATCTGTAGTTTCTGGATGCTTAATCTTCAGAAAATTATAAATAGATAATAATACATAAAACATGTTGTTTTTACTGTTTCCTGAGTTAGAAAAAAAGTTAAAGACCTTAGTTGGTGAGAAAAAAAAAGAAACTTTTTCAGTGATGTTTTGATTAATTAGTATTTCAAGTCGCTACTTCAAGGTTATAAAATTCATTTTCAATGTTATTTTTTTACTGATTTATTTAAAACTTCATCTTTGTGTCCATTGGGTATATTTACGTCGTTATCTTTAGGTTCATTAGATTTAGTACATCTCCATCTATAAGTCCATTATATTACATCTTTAAGTTCATTACATTTATTACATCTTCATCTTTAAGTTCATTACAGTCATTACATCTTCATCTTTAGGTGCTTTAGATTAATAACATCTTTATCTTTGGGTTCAAGAGATTTATTACTTCTTCATCTTTAAGTGCATTAGTTTTATTACTTCTTCATCTTTAAGTGCATTAGTTTTATTACTTCTTCATCTTTAAGTGCATTAGTTTTATTACATCTTTATCTTTAGGTTCACTAGATTTATTTATAACATCTTAATCGTTAAGATTCATAAGATTAAGTAGATCTCCAACTTCAAGTTCATCATGTTTATAACATCTTTATCTTTAGCAGAGGGTTTTAACGTCATCATTCAAAATTCTCGTGGTTGGAGGGGCGAATTATTTCTGTCATCAAAAGAATTGGCTCTTTAATTTCAAAGAATAAAAAAAATAATTTGGGAATAACCTTTTAATATTTACATTCAATTGTATTATATGTCGAACAAGTCAAAAAATGATAATAATATAATTTAAGTGATTTTTTTTTAGTTACGATTAAGATTTAAAAGCTTTATTAATATCATAGGCGAGAAAATTGTTTTCTCAACTAAAAGTTCGTGTTAGATGAAAGAAAGCTGAATATTATTACTAATTATGACTGTAGAATTGACTTTGTTTGAACCCACGCACACAGAATCCTATATTTACAATGAATTCCATTGTCACAATCGTGTATCAACGTTTTTAAAGGTTACGTATGTTTAGTTACACGGGGACATTTAACATCCGCCGTTAGCACTTCCGTAACTTCCCATCTTCACAATTTCAAGCTATTACGAACTTCGTTGCAGTCAAGATACAAGACGGGATTCGTAGTAGATTAATATTATGAATATGGTCCCTATCAGACTCTCATTGGTAAACATTTCGTCATCACGGATTTTGTGTGGATTGGCCATTCTGATATATCGCACTCCGCCGTTACCATTATGTTAGCTTCAACAGTTTTCTGATTTCAGTTTTGTTGTTCTCTATCCACAATGTTTATAGAAACGCATTTCAACGATTATTTCTGTATTTATTTAAATATTATCAACTTACAAATTGTGGTACTGATAGACTTAGTTTGCTTCTTGGTTGATGAAAATTTTCTGTCTTTTTGATTGGAATTTACTGGGAGGATGTGGGTTATAGGGATTTAGGGATTTTTGTTACCAATCGTTCCTTAGTCTCAGAAACAGCTCACCGTAGAAATTTGAGCATTCAAATCCACGTTTGTTTTCCGCGTCTGAAAGTAAAACAAAGACGAGTCGTCTTTTCTTGAGACTCTGCCATTTATAGAAAATACATCTATAGAAATAGGAAAAGAAATTCCTATATTATAGTTTGAGATATTTTTGAAGGAATTGTGCGATTTTCGTACATTTCTAGTAGGCTATTTCTGAACACTAGTTACATATATTCAAGACTCAAATCAACAACTCGAAATGGCGCATCTGTCCCTTTAATTTCAAATGAAAAACTTCCAACCTTAATATTTCTTTAATGGAAATTTCATTTAATGTTTAATGTAAAATTACACTTCGAGCTGTGTGAACAGAGACTAGGAAATGTAGCGATTATATATTTTCTCTGGGTTATATCAATTCGTTTTAACATCCAATAACTAATTTTCTTAGCCAATAAATTATCAATCAAACTTAAGGACTATATCACTTCAAGAAATTTAGTTACACAGTTTTTTTTAAACAAAATATGTCGGTCAGGTTTGTATAAGAAAAATGATTATCTACAAATGAACAGAATGTTTTCACTCAATCTCAACATTACAAGTTCTTTAATGAAAAGCTTTAATGAAGTGATTACCCGTCGATATTTGCAAACAAATCCCATCGAGTATTGTCTCGTTCACGTTTTCTATAGATACAGTAGGCGGTTTACATCATCTTACAGACGGTCTTTACGATGGTCCGAATAACTTGCCTTTAAAGAGGGAAATTCGTTAATAATTTGGAATGTGGGAGTTTTAAAGAATTAAAGAAATTCAAAGAAGCATTTTTTGATGCCCTGAGGTGTTTTTTTTTTTTTGCAAAATCATTTGTTGAAGTCTATTACAAGATGTTTATATAGAGTTCACTTAGGATTGAAAACTTTAATGAGCAATATTTTATCACCACAAATTTCAAGTTGGATTTTGATTGGCATACCTCCGATCAATCTTTAGTTCCTTAAAGGTAATATAGGCTGCTGGGAGCTACTGCATATTTCTAGATTTGGCCGAAAATTTTTCACGAAGATTTGATTCGCAGATCGTCTTAACTTGACCCTTGGTTTTATATCAAACTGGTTGTTGCTATGTTCGAGAAGAAATATGCGGAACCGCATCTTTAATATGCATATGTTTCAAATAACTACTTTGATTAATCAAGACACTAAACAAATTTTATACCCAAAAGGAAGACCATTTCTTAAACTCCGACTAGAGTGTAGGAGGGGATAATATAAGAAGTGAGCAGAAAAGGAATCAGTTAGAAATAAGCCTGGAATTATAAATTGTCACAGTCAAACAATTTCACAGGAATGAAAATAGCTAAGTTAGTAGGCAAGGTAATATTCGCCCAATGGAACAGTAGGAATGCTATCGTATTCAAACCCTTAAAACCGTGATCTCATTGCTGTGGACAATATGGTTTACCATCAAGTTCATGAAAACTCTTTCCTATAGAATGCTAACAAAGACGAATTGTGGGAGAGTTACCCTGCAGTTCGTCATTGTTATCAAGTAACGGATTTGACATAACACGTTTCGAACGCAACTGTGGTACATAACTTGTTAGATTACAATGGAGACGACACATATATGGAAAAAGCGTCTAGTTGTTCGGATGGAACAATAAACCAAGGCCCCATGTGCTACAGGCTGTACACGTTAACGATCCCTCGACAGTTCGAAAAAGAGCCCGTCTTCATTAGCCCACGTGGTGCAAAAAAGTTCATTTCAATTATACACATACACATATCGTTGTTTATTGTCATGTTACTATGACTTGAATGGAATAATAACATGTTGTAAACTATCTTTAACGGTGTTATTGATCTATTTTAACTTTATCCTACTTTTATCAGTCCTCTTATTCGAATCTTATGTATATATTATTCTGCTTTCAGTTTGTTTATGATGTTTATGCCGAATCTATGGAATTTAATTCTTATCCTACATAATTGAAAAAAAGAACTCAACCGGTGTGACAGATTGTAAAAATTTGTGATTAAATATATTAACCAACGTCAACCGTCAATAGTAACGAACGCCAAAACCTCAACAGTGACGAAAGTCAAATCTTAAACGATATGATTGCAATTTGGCTGTGATTTTCACATCTAGTGATTTTTGCATTCCCTCCAAAACATTCATCTGCTGAATTCTCAATATGGCAACATTCAAAATTAATTTTTTCGTGATATTAATTTTTGCAATTTTCTTCAAAAATATAAACTGTCGTAGTTGGCAATATAAACACCATTTAAAAACAATTTTTCAGAATCCTTCGCCTGTTAAAGCCACCAATGCTCGACGCCAATATCTTCATCATATGCAAAGTAAATCTCAGTTGTCCTCGTATTTCTTGCACTGGATAGGAAAACGTGATTTTTTAGTTTTGCCTCCTAAAAGACAGGCCTCTCAAGGAGCTGATATATTCTATAACGAGCCTCTGACCTCAAGAAAAACTTACAGTCCTCGGTTTGACCTCACAGATTTGTCAAATCGGGAATTTTTGAAACAATTACAAAAATTGGATTCATCATCTGACTATGTAACTGAATTATTTCCGGACTCGTTAGCTTCCTTTAACAGTGATGATGATGGAACGAAAGATGACCATGGAATAATCTCTTCCGCCACAGATATAAATCAAGCTAATTATTATGTTTCACAAGCATTTAATGACAGACTTACTGATAATAATGATATCATAGAAAATATCGAAGAGACCTTGCCATTAAGTGCTGTTATTGATGGGGACTTGATCGAATATTCAAATGACCAGAAGGTATATCCGGAACAGCTCTATTTTAAAGACATTAATATGCCCAATGGGTATTCTGAAAAAGACGTTCCCCAATCGCTTGTGAGAGAATTGGACTTAAAAACCAATATGGCTATGGCTGAAAATGCAACACCGGAAGTTGACGGTCTCGAAGAAAACGAACATAGTGTAGCGTCAACCGAAGATACCAATAAAATAATCAACACGTTACTAAATTCTATTCAACTTTTACTAGAATCAATCGCTAAAATGGATACTCGTAGCAAACTTACGACAGTCACAAACAAAAGGGCTTCCTATAAACCGGAAGTAAATTACCACCATCTTTCCAAAAGGCCAGCTAATATTTATTCACCTATATCTCCACATCGTCCATTTTATTTTAAGGGAAATAATGACAGGTTTCAAGTTGTTATGCCTTTAATGCGGAGATATCCTTATTCAAACGTGGTACGATTGTCTTCTGGATGTACTGGTACTTTACTTACACCATACCACGTTCTAACTGCAGCTCATTGTGTTCATAATGGTGAAGAGTTCAAAACTAATCTAGAAATGTTAAAAATAGAAATTCCTGATACTATGGGATTTCGGGTTTATTATATTAAAAAAATCAGCATTCCGAAATCTTGGAGAAGGTCTGGGCATTTATCGGACACAGCCAGGGCTTCGTTTGATTATGCCATAGTTCGATTAAGCGTTGGTGTTCCAGGAAAAACAGAATTTGTGCCACTTTCAGTTCCTAAACTGAACGTTTTAAATCAAGATATGAATTTTCTAGGATTTCGTACTGATGAGAGCTCTGGCCTGTACAAATCGGAATGTCGCTCACCGTTCGGCTTGTCATTCAGAAATGTGAATCTAATAGTTGCAAACTGTGATTCGGTTGTTGGAAATTCAGGAGCTGCAGTGTTTATTGATGATCCTAGAGAAGGGAAACGTATTGTTGGTGTATTATCGTATGCTGAAGAATCAAGCCGGTATAGTTTCATCATGGCATTAACGTGGAATAAACTTTATGATATTTGTTCAATGATTTCACATTTAGGTCAAATATATGGAGTTTGTCCGGATTTTGAAACTATTCCTAGAATGAACCCACCTGTACATAACAGAATTATTCCATTTTTTGGTAGAAAGTAATATTTGTGATGTATTTGTCGTATTTAAAGAAATTGTTTAAATTTGTTATTTCACTTTTTAACTGTTAGATTCATATATAAGTGATCAACACCCCCCCCCTTTCCTAAATTCGCGTCCTTGCAAAAATAGATTGTAATAACTTTGTTATTAGAATCTTTGGTTATTAATTTCTAGCAATTGTTTCGGCAATGACGTTCAGATGTCGGTAATTCAGAATGAGAAAATCTTCATAACGGCCTGGAAACTTTATTTCTAAATTTATATATTGGTTAAATGGTAGACCAACCTAATTGAAATGCAGATCTAGATGTTTGGTATTATGTATTTTATGCGGATGCCACTTGCAAACAATTGTTGTACATCACTTAGTAAAAAAATATTCAAGCAATCACCGAATCAAAATTTAAAGAAGAATCTCTTCGGATCAGAGCAGAAAACGACGTGAAATATCTAGGTCTGTATTTCAATTATATCTGTATATTAAATTGATGTGGGACTGGTTGGCGGCTTTTTTTCTGAAAAATGATACGGACAGCATAGATTAATCATTGTCGGCAAAAGAATGTTCCATGTATGATAGAGCTCGATAACGTTTAATAATCACACATTTAGTCAACGGCAGCTGACAGGGTCAATGTGATGCAAACTCGGCACAAGAATAACCACCATAAATTTAATACTTTTTTTTTAGAAAACATTTGGTTCAAAAATATCAAAAGCACCCCTTTTAATCCAAAATATATCGTTTGGCCATCCATTAAATAAATACAGTTGCAAAGGGACGGGAGGAGAATCCGTTGTATAAGGAAACATATTTCTGTCCGTCATAAACTTGATAATTTTGGAAGCATCTTTCTTCCATTTATGCAAGAGCCATTCCATGAGCATGAATGGTACGTCCACTTTATCAAAGAAGTTAACAGCACCAAGCAAAACATTGGTTTCAAAGGATTCTACATCCATTTTAATCACAGCTCTTTTCAGGGGTTTAAATTTGTACACATCATCTAAGGTAATAGTTTGTAAGATCTCAGAATCGTTGGAAAAGCTCTTTCGAACATTCGTACCGCCGACATTTCCAAAATGTGTTTCCATGGCGACAAGACTTCTATTGTTTGACAATGGATTGGTTATTAAAGTCACTTTATCATTAACACGATTTTCTTCCAGAGTTCGACACAGTCTTTTGATGTTGGGTTTAAATGGTTCAATGGCTATTACTTGACGTCCAAGTTTTGCCATGGTTAAGGTATAGACACCAATATTGGCACCGATATCAATAAAATCCAGACTAGAATCATTGAGTAAAATAGAATGTACGTAATTTACTAAACGAGGTTCCCAAGCGCCTTCACGAGATATACCACCAGAAATATGCTGATCCTCGACGGGAAAATGAATATAAATAGGAAGCGTACCCTGAGGACCATCCAGTAACACTCCTGTTAGGAAGAAATCAGAATTGTTTCGACAAGTGTGTCCATCCAATATCCATTCATTCCTAACATGTTTGTGAACTTTCATAGCTCTGTTTGAATGTGGAGGATATTTAGAATTCCTATATAAAGTTTCAACATCCAAAACCTTGTTAACTGTCACTTTAGTTGTCTCTTCAATCTCTACAGTTCCCTGTAGCACCAACAATACTCCAAAGGTAGCCATCACAAACAGGACCTTCCCGAAGAATTTTCCACGCAAACACCACTTTACACACATCATGTTTGTAGTTCCAACTAATCCAAGCTCATCCCAAAGATGTTTTTAAAGAAAACCGGATTTGTAACTCAATTTACATGCGATCCTCAATTCAAAATCTACAAAGGACAGACAGAACACTTCCAAAACATGTCTGATATGTGAGAAAATGAAGACTAATATTGATGATATTTTAATTGAGATTAGTTAATTAATTAAATTAACCTTCTTAATGAGCTGGTAATTGCACCCGAGGCATCAATTTTTGGGTCACGTGGTGCACAATTTTTTTTTATTACGACCCGCTTCTCCAACCTGTATTGAAATATGACCTTTCAATTGTAGTCTTGTCGTGGCATCTTCCTATAATATATCACAATACCACTTACAAAATATAAAATCTTTGCTCCGAGGTACAATCACTTCATAATTTGCGACTTATTTACTCCAGGCGACACATTAGACGTTTGATTTCTCCGCCATTTCCCACCTTTGACCCGTAAAGTGTTTCTGTATCTAGGTGAGGACATTGGGGTTATGTCTCTGAAGGAAATCCCTTAAAGACAATTTTGAAGAGTATCCTATTGTATGTCCCTCTGGTATGTAATGCAACCAGGAATTCTAAAATAGTATTCAGATGTAGAGTTGATATCTGTACATGACAACAAATTGAAAATCTCCCAAGACTTCTTAAGGGGAATATAGACACAGCTTTATGGAACATCAATCACTGGTTAAAGATTTATGCAACGTTTCTCTTGTCTTCCTCAGGCGTCCTTCTTAGTTAGGGTTAGTTGGGTTTCGGGGAAGTGTGTCATTTTCATGATACGAAGGATTATCATGGCAATAACCTTTCAGTTATTTCATCTAATTTCCTTGTCTTTCTCATGCAAACATTTCAGAGTTGACAGATGGTTGTCTGGTCTGTTCCTATCCTTCACAGCCAGGCAGAAATTGTTTGCTCAAGGGAATTTATAAGTTCCATGTGCCTGGCAAGTTTGTGAATAGGGCTTGACGCATGTACGGTTAATTGCGTTACGAAATTCAAAACGATTGAGCTTTACGCAATATGCTTTCGCCTATGTCTAGCTTAAAATTGACAGCAGATTATGCGTTATTCGCACATTGGCCTACGCTGTTTTCATATAGTTACCAGATCTATGCAGTGCATGTCGACCCAAATCTTTTTGTTGGAATTTGATAAAACTTTTGATATTATATATGTCATAAATGATGAGGAAGTAATATAATATTTTTATAAGCAATTAATATTTTCACTAATTGATATATTAATGAGTAAGAGTATGACTTATATAGCTGCCTCGAGACAAACATGGAGATGAGCCATATATCAGTAGATATTTCGAAAGATTTTAGATTATTAAATTACTTGCTGCGTGATCCGTTTCACTTTCCGATTCGTACCTGTTATATCCAACTTAGTTTGATTCGCTAATAACTGGTCTTGGTTGGAAAAATTGTCCATATTTGGGATGCTGTCTTCGCACTTTCGTCTCTAAATTGAATGTTACAACAGATCATTATATGAAAATTAAAATAACAGCTTCTTATAATTTTCCCTTGACAATAATATAAATAAAAACACATTAGTCTTTAAATCAGTACCAATAGATGCAGGTCATCCAGAAACAAAAATTGTTACTTTCTGTGTGCATAGATATGAATAACGATGCTAACTTTAAATTTTGTCATAGCTCAGAGAAACTTAAAATATTGTCGTTGTTGTCTTAAATTTATAGTTCAAGGGAGGTAACACAAAAACTGCTTGGACTCAAAGTTACGCCAAGCTACCACTGTCTTTATTAAATTGTTTTGAGATCCTCTAAAGATTCCATCAATTGGGGACTTGGGTATCGGACGAGTGGCATTTCTACGGATTGGGCAGGGGGGCTATTGGCTTTGGCCTCACACTTTCTTTTTTTATCATTCACATTGCGAAAGAATGGACTGTGGCCGCCCCTTTCCCTATAGAAAATAGAAAAATTAATAACATTTAAAATCCCTCATCTCTCAAGAATCAGTCAATTCATCAAGCGGCGGCCTAGTATGCTAGACATACTCTACTTAACATTTGATTCTCTCTTTTAAAGGGACATTCTGTTTTTTTTTTTCGAAGGTGGAAAATGCTCAAATTTATGAAAACTTCATACCACAATCTGGAGAAAATGTGTCTCTGGACTTATTTGAAAGTTTTAACCAAAAAAAAAATTGTTTACGCCAAAACAATTTAAAAGGCTAAAGTAAGCTCTTAATAAGTTCCTTATGTATATTGAGAAATGAAGTATCCACTGGAGTAAATCAATGTGCTCTCTCATTCGTATAAAGTCCTAAACATTCCCTTTCGCAAAGGGATGCAACTCGTATCTACAAACATGGTCAATTCAGTCAAAGACCAGTGAACTAGACTTTTTAACAGATTAGATTCCAGATCACTTTCTTTCGTTGTAAACAGCATGATAAGCATAATACAGTAAGCATGTGGAATTGAAATAGAGGCCCGTTAGGATCTAGAGATTAGAAGACTTTAAATTGTAATGAGATACAAATTATGCACCTTACAGTTTTTGTGGTATGAAATTAAAATAGTAAGTAAATCTCTTTTAATTTTATACCACATAAACTCTAAGGTGCATTTTAAGTCTAAAATAATAGAAACCACACATTTGAATTGAAAGACGTGTATTTTGCTAGTTATGTTTATCAAAAGAAAGACTAGTCTAGTATATACATATTACAGGGAAGTAGACTAAACATAATGACATACTAATACTATGAGTAATTCCAATTTAAAACAATTTTTTAAAACTAAATACAATACTGTAGGCATGTCTTACAAAATCTTGTTTATTACAGATCATACTTATTCTATGAGTAATTCCAACTTAATACAAATATTTTTCAATAAACACAATACTGTAGGTATGACTTACAAAATCTTGTTTATTACAGATCATGCTTATACTATGAGTAATTCCAATTTAATACAAATATTTTTCAATAAACACAATACTGTAGGTATGACTTACAAAATCTTGTTTATTACAGATCATGCTTATTCTATGAGTAATTCCAATTTAATACAAATATTTTTCAATAAATACAATACTGTAGGTATGATTTACAAAATCTTGTTTATTACAGATCATGCTTATTCTATGAGTAATTCCAATTTAATACAAATATTTTTCAATAAACACAATACTGTAGGTATGACTTACAAAATCTTGTTTATTACAGATCATGCTTATTCTATGAGTAATTCCAATTTAATACAAATATTTTTCAATAAATACAATACTGTAGGCATGTCTTACAAAATCTTGTGTATTACAGATCATGCTTATTCTATGAGTAATTCCAATTTAATACAAATATTTTTCAATAAATACAATACTGTAGGCATGTCTTACAAAATCTTGTGTATTACAGAATATACTAATTCTATGAGTAATTCCAATTTAATACTTTTTTTTTTTAAAAATATAATACCGGTACTGTAAATTTTGTTTATTACAGAAACTTGTTGACCTAGCTTCTGATAAATATTTGAATGGTTAAGCTGTCAAAATATCTATCTATTTATCTAGATTTAGGCCTGAATGAGTTAAACTATTTCCATACCAAAATTGAGGAACCTGTTATGTTAAAATTTGATAATGGGATTGTAAGGAGGTTTTTTTATTTTTTTGTGGGGTTCAAGGATAGCATTTATTTGCACGATTCTTATTTTCTGTCAGACATCTGTGGTTCCTACATTTCCACTAAAACTTCAAGGGATAGATGCACCCTTTTTTTTAACCAATCGGACTTCTGACTGAAATTTGGTAAGGTGCAAATTGATGCTAGCAGTATCCACGACACCTCTTTAAATTCCCTTTCAGTTGGAATGTATTGATTTAAGCAATTAAGCAATTACTCATTCAGCAACAGATTTTTCTCATATTGTAAAAGTACTACTATGTACCTATTATTAACTAACAGAAAATTCTACACATAAAATTTTTAAATGCTTAATCAGATCCTTTTTCTAATAATTTAATAAGAATTTATACATATTTTTTATATCATGGCACAACATTCCCCACTCCAAAGTAGAACATTAATAAATAAATATTGTAATATGTATTTTGTCCTTACCTTAGACTCAAAAACAATACTAATATAATACTTATATTCATTGATGCCATTTCAATGTGTGAAGTCACACATCATGAACAGTGGCAGCGCCAGCGGGGGTACAGGGGTGGGGGGCAAGAAAAGTGGTTTGTCTCCCAATTGTGCCCTCCACTTCATTTATAACAAATTAAAATTTAAAAATGCACCAAATCAATTCTATTTTTCAAAAATATTCTTGGGGAGAACCCTCTCAGTGTCTTGCGCCTATTGTGTTTTTCTCAAAACCACCACATTTTGAATTCGACCTTCTTGTTCCCCCATTAAGTCAGTTTGCCCCAATTGTATCCTCTGTCTCGGAAGGCTGGCGCTGCTATTGATCATGAAATAATGTTTTTAATCCTAGGAAGTATCACATTAACTCAAATTATACCTCAAAATCAAATAAAAAAGGCTATTGCCATAACTTAAACCATACAAAATGAGCATATTTCAAAACATATATTGCACCAATATGATACTGTTTCTAAAATACAATTTAATAAATCAAAATCATAACTACCATTATCTTCAAATATTGAAAACATCCCATAATTTTTTTAATGAAAAATCAAGATAAAATTTGTGCTAATTCATATTGCATTCAGATGTATCTTCCTTAAATGATTTAAATTTTATCTGAGAAAAAGAAAAAGAACAGAAAATTCATCTGTGATGTATTGCTGTGTAAGACTCATAGCACAGAGATATTTTGCCAAGGCAAGATATTCTCTGTTTCATGAGAAGCCTAAAAAAATATAAAGTTTTCCTGGAAAATATTTACACATTAACAACCATTAACCCAGTGAGTGGACAGAGCCAGATATTGTCTAGAAACAACACTGGTATATTAGCAAGATGGTGGAGGGGTTTGGTTGAGCTCTGTTGGTTCTTTATGACTCAAGAGTACCTGTACACAACCATAAGAGTACATATTCATATTGAGAGTACCAGTAATATACCACTGATTAGCTTCAGGATCATAATATTCTATCACATCTGAATACAAATTGTCCTTTGCTCCTCTTCTTCGACCACCAAATGCATACAACTTGGCATCCAAAATTGCCAAACTGACAAAATCTCTTGGGTAACTCATGTCAGATAATATATCCCACTTGTCTGATGCTGGTGTATAACGAAACACACCCTCTAATCCAACAATATAAATCTGACTATTTAACACGCACGCGTTTAAACACATATCATTTGCTGGTAAGCCATTCTGTAGAACCTCACACTGCCCAGAACTGGTATCAAAACACTGTACAGTATTAGTGACCAATTCCTCACTGTTTTTACCACCAAATAAATATATCTTCTTTCCAAAAGCAACGAAGCCCATGTTTTCCACAGCTGTATTCAAAGAACCAGCTTCTTCCCAAGTATTTGACTTTTTATTCCATTTCTCAATGGAACATAATACAACTTCTTCATCAAATCCTCCCAGAACATAAATACAGTCATCAACAGATGCCATTGCATGTCTTCTTCGAGCATGCATCATATTGGATCCTTTCAACCATGTTTCAAAGTTAGGATCATATTTCCAGAATTCAGAGCTTCTAAGTCCTCCTGATACATAAATTTCATTTCCCATAGTACACGCTGCAAATTCATTTCGTTTTTTAAATGGTAGTGTTTTTAAGGAAATGAAGTCATTGGTAGTTGCTCGATAACATTCTACCTCATTACTTAAACCATCCATGACTCTACCTCCCAAAAGAACAGCACATTCGAAATATGGGAAAGAGAATCGAGGAGTGATTTGGTAGGAGTTCAACATATCTCTACGAGATGGTACTAGATGAAACATTATGGCATCATCTAACAGATCCTTTTCCTTGTCTTCCTCTGAAAGATGGCCCATTTTAATGACCACATCCATCAGATAACTTTCAGTGATCAAAGGATATTTGACACATTCTAATACTTTGAAGCGACTCTTTCTTCTTTGATCTGGATCAAATTCCAGCCATTTCACAGCTGCCTTAAAGACTATATCTTCACTTTTACAATTCAATCTTCTATCACGAAGCAAATCCACAATACAATCTACTGACAGTTTCATAAAGTCTTCATCCAAAACAACAGAGCTAAAATGGGCACAGGCATATTTCTTGGAGAATTCATACAAAGGTTTGTGATTGTGGAGATCAGCCAAGGTTAAGGCAGCAAGACAATTGTTGTCATTCATGTTCTGTTGAAAGAACTGGACTGTTAATTCCACTAGAGGAGTGATCTGAAATAAATGAGCTTGAGTAAAGAGTTCCTGGACCATGAGTCCAGTAATATTGACACTACCAGTATAGATAAATTGTAAGACATGTTCAAAGACCTTCCCATCCAGCTGTTTCAACTCCACAACATTTTGTCTACTTTCCTCCATTCCTGAAGAGAACATTGACCGAAAATAGGCTGAACCTGCAGCCAAAACTATTTTATGACAATCAAACTTGTGATCTTCAATTTTAATGGTGATATCAGTATAGCCTCCCTCCATACGAAATTTCGACACATTGTCGATTAGGAACTCCAAATGATCCTTGCTGGAGAAACTAGCTTCTGAATCAATACTTATTTCATCTGACATATCAGACATTCTTCTGAAAAATTGAAGAGAAAAAAATGACTTTTTTATTGGTCATGATTATTCACAAATTATCAGCAGATATCCAAATCAGATGTGAAATTTGTTTTGACTAACCCAGGTTCACAGACATTGCCATACACAAACATGAAAAATAATGTGATTCATAAAGGAATACCACAGCATGACTGTGTCAAATCTAGATAAACTTTCTTCTACTCTATGCTGTATTGAAGCAAACAGAGGTATTCGCAAACACTGATATCTAGCAAGGCCCTGAGCACTCAAATAAGAGTGGTTGATCAATTTTCTAAATAAGTTTATTTCAATCTTGAAGTTACGGCAAGATAATGCAACATGATTTGATTGTACACTGTCTTTATGATGTCATGATGATGGACTTATTTCAAGTTATTTGCACCATAATTTTAAATAAAGCTTACCTTATTAATGCATCAACCTCCAAGAATACATTGCATTAATAACACATATTTTGAGCCTGGAAATAGAAAAAAATGGTGACATACTTTCACGATGAGTTTTCAGGCATCTATTTCCACATTTTCAAATTCTAGACATAAGCTAAAAGGGAATAAGACAATAAAAGACTCATCAATAATCAACTTATAATTGCATTCCTGAATAGAATATAATCATCAATTATCACCTTACCTGGTGTGTGATTTACATGATACAAGTTATGGTTGACAAACTGTAAATAGCCTATCTAAAACTTATAACGCAGCAATTTAAAAGACATATGTTGCCAAATCAATAACACATACAAGCACACCTATATAATTTATTCATAGCATTAATACACAAATATATTTATTAGATAAGAACTAGAATAGCTCAATGATAAACCGGGTACAAAATGTAATGTAAATGATATTATAACAATAGATATATAATTAAAATATTTTATGATGATGTCTACTCTCTGAAAAAGACTTGACAAAAGTAGCTGTAAAAAATTTATAGTGTCAACATGTATATATACAGCATAGCTTATTGTTACTTTGTACAAGGCTTAAAGAACTGTTGCATCCTCGTTGTTATCATGTTAAAGTCTAAGCTTATGGTGCCAATATATGTGTCATTTTTGTAGGTCAATTCGATTGGACAGATATCTTGTGCATTTGTGAGCCAGAGGTTTAGGCTAATTGGTACATTTCTGAGAAAGTTTGTCTAAACTGATTAGACTAATCATCTAAATATCCTAATAGTCCCAGGAAGTGGTTGGGATATTAGACTAAAAAAAAAATGACTTTCTTTTGTTGTCAGCGGAGGCAGTCATATTTCCTAATATCAAATTTGGCATTTATTTGTAGACCACTGCTAATCAAATCAAAATTACACCAAAATTGACTATCTTGTTATTTGGTGTTTCTTATTAATCTGAGTAGGGTAGCCTGAATTTAAACAATAAACCACTCTCTGAGTAGGCTTACATTGGATTTGACAAACTCTTTCTTCCCCAATGATACAATTAAACCACTTGTTTATTCTGTGATGTCATGCCTGGATTTCTCATAAAACCAGTAAAGAGATTGATCTTCCTTTGAAGAATATAAGCTAAAATCCAGTAGCTACAATAATTTTGCAAATGATTTATATTCATCACATGATATAATTTTTTGTCATCCGATATGATGGGATGCATGTCGTTGGAAAATGCTAGCATATTTTCATAAAGAAAGTTAAAATTTTACAGGTAGGTTGACTGGATAAATGACTGAAGATGACTGATCATTAGACCTTCACACGCTGATCACGATCGAAACCCACAGCAACCATTTGCTCAATGTAACCAAGCAAATGACGACTGTAGTATAATATAGATTGGATGTGGATTGGAGATAAATCAAGATCTTCATTTTCAATTTCCATGTTTCAGAGAATCTCCTAAAAATTGTGCACAATGTTTCTGACCTTGTACAATTAAGGCTATTGTCAAAAATATCTTGCAAAGTCAGAAGCATGGTAAGTCAGACAGTTTCGGACTAACTAAATGTTATATAATTATGAGACTGACAGATTTCCTGATTTGTTGCACTAATTAATTAATTTAAAGACAAGGCCTACATAAATAAGATGCCACTTTAGTGAAAATATTGGCACATTGCTTCGATACAACCAAATAAGTATATAGGGCAGTTGCAGCATTCTGATGATTATAAAGTGATATATAGGCCTATATAATACATAAATATACACCAATTGACCAATACTGGCAATAGTCTATAACTTGTATTAGCTTGTAAGTTGTAGTTACACTCAGTTTCATTTGTAAAGTATTCTTGTTCATTCTCCATATTCTATTCTTACAAAGATGTTTAATAGGAAGTCTATAGCCTAATGAAAATAAAAGATTATACTGACCTTATTCTGTTCAGAAGGTAAATATTTATCAAAATTTTATCATTTTCTCTGTGACTACTGAAGGGAAATAACTCTGAATTGTGAGCTATTTTTATCTTTATTAGATTATCCAGAAGCAAATATAACCGACACAATAATCATTATTGGTGATGGAAAACATACTTAAAGCACTGTTATTGAACAGTATCAATGTCGTATATAGGCCTACTGTAAAGTACCAGAACACTGTTATTGTACAGCCCAGTACCAGAACACTGTTATTGTACAGTATATAAAAAAATTGTTATTTTATACTATAATTTATAAAGTAACAACCCTTCTGTTATTGTATTAGAACTCTGTTATTGAAGAGTTTCAGAACTCCGTTATCTGAATAACGTTTATCAGAACGTTATTGTACAGAATAGGAACTCCCTAGCCTACACATAAATAAGGATCCGAACCATCAGAGCAATGTTATTGTAGGCTACATTGCACGATATCCTAAACTCTGTTATTTTACAGCAATCTGTTATAGTATAGTATCAGGACACTGTAACAAGTAATTTATATTATCTGAACACTGTTATTGTATAGTGAAAGAACACTGTTAGTGTACGGTATCAAAGTCTGGTATTTACAGTCACTATCAGAACACTGTTATAGTATCAAAAGTCTGCTATTGTATAGCAACAGAACAGCGTTATTGAACAGTATTAGAATATTGAATATTGAACTTGAGCAGTATATTATCAGAACTCTGTTATTGTATATTATCAGAATAATGTTATTGTATAATATGAGAATGTTATTGTATAATATCAGAATAATGTTATTGTATGGTATTAGGACACTGTTATTGTACAGTATCACAACTCTGTTATTGTATAGTATCAGAAAACTGTTATGGTATAGTAGAAGAACACTGTTTTTTTTTTTTTGTTTTTTTTTTATAGAAGACTGTTATTGTACCGTATCAGAGCACTATTACCAGGAGACTATTCTTGTATAATATCAAGACACTTAGCACCAGGACACTGTTGTTGCATAGTATCAAAACTATGCTATTGTATAGCACCAGAACACTGTCGTCGTATAGTTCCAGAACAGTGTTATTGTATAGTATCAGAACACCCTTATAATAAAGAATTAGTATTATCACTACGTTATTGTTCTCTCTATTTTCAAAACGCAATTTAGAGTATCAGACAGTGTTAGTGTACAGTATTAGAACTCTGTTATAGTATAGCATCATAGATACAGAGTAGGCCTATTTTTATTTAGTCTAAGGTCTAGCAGATTTACATAATACATGCTAAATGTCAGGCCTGGGATGATTTCCGTGCTCTCAAATGATTTATATCAATCAAAGTCTCCCGAAAATAAGATTGCTCGTTTCGATGATGACTGCATTTTTTCATGAAAGATAGTTTAGTGGTTATTTTGTAAGGGTACATTCTGTCCATTAACTTACTCTCAAATTACTTCGATTATTGTAAGGTCTCTTGGTAAAACTTACTTGAGCAGATCTTACTGCTCCTTGCACATGGAAATTGAAAATATCCAAATTGGTATGGAATTGATCAGTAAACATCAATGGAGAAGGCGTATGTCAAAATTGAATTAATCCATGCTCATGCTATTTAAAAAGATTCACAAATACAGTCATTCTAGGGGACAATATAGAAGTTAAAACACGCTTTTACAAATTCAAAAAATATATTATTTGATATCATTTACAAATCACAGAAAGTGGGAAAGATCAACAGAACATAATGGAATAATAGAAAATTATCCTGCAATTGATGTACAGTATCTCTGTATTCACAGCATATTCCATCAACTTGTATTATTGGATTAGATTTTTATGTTGAGATTTTTTATTAATTCAAGAGAGATGGCCTCAACGTATCTGCATATCTAACAAGTAATAATGATCTATCAAGATAAGTATTGTATTTACCGATCTTATCTCATTGACCCATTTATTCATTAAATCCTGTTTTGAGGGTATTTCGTCTAGAATGTCTTTAGCCCGGAGATTATTTTCAACTTCAATTCAGCTATTGTTTCATGTAATAATAGCGTTTTAACTTACTCACAGGGACTGGAAACCTTTTAAATGTCATTGTATAAGATATACTTCTGCATTTTAAAAATAGATCAGTATGCGACTTTTGATCAATCATAAGTTTTGACTCGAATAAGTCTTACTTGATATTCTGACTGGAATAAAATTCATTAAAGATTCATTATCGATATTGGAATAAGATTCCATCAAGTTCGGAAAAATTTAAGTTGGGTTTCCACTTACGATTTACATTTAGAGACATATAAGAATTTTACTGTATCGAATACAAGAGATCGACCATGATGTTTTTGTATATCATTGAAACTTCTACCTGGATTTAGGTACCCCACAACCATATAAAAAATAGCCAGTAGTTAGGTAAAACAGAACTATCCTATGCGATTCTTTTGCTACTGTTTTCTGCTTGAATGATAAACAGGATGTTGCCATAGACAAATCTTAAAAGGAAAAATCAGCAAAATAACACAATCAAATTTCATCCTAATTACCTGCGAGGAAACGCCATAAAAAGGTTATTCCACCTGTAATTTGTATCTATCGTTTTGAGCATGATTTTGTATTTGCCAGCACCTTGGAATTTCACATCAATAAAGACATGGAAATATTACTTCTATTACAATAAAGTTGTTATCTGTTTTGATTTAATTATCTTATTTCGCTCTGAAATGTCACAGTAGAGGAATTAAAATGTTATGACTTGCCAGCATCTTTTCCGTTAGAGAGTTCCTTTAATTTTTTACGATGTTTCAATTCAATTTCTTGTTCTTCTTCGTGAGGTAATAATATATAGTCCGTCAACACCGGATGTCCCTTCCGCCACCACTGAATAAACGATCCGAGTATTAAAATTGACATTGCTATGGCAACAAGGATCAAAGCTGTTTCCAGACTCTTCCGTTCGACATGGGTAATGAAAGACTGTTTGATTCCTGGAAAGAGAAAGAAAATTACACATCACAATCATTATTGTTTATAAGAGCACACAGTAGGTTTTATAAGGAACGTAGCCTATCCACTTTTTGTTGTATGGAAATGAAATAAGTTTTCTGCACCTTTTATTGTATAGAAATTGGTACTCTAAAATATGTTATTTCTTACAAAAATGGTGAAAAGGTTTATGTGACATCATGGTTGTTTATACCATTCCACTTGAACAATACGTAATAAGTCTTAGATTTAGATGTTCTTTATTGAGCTTGATGGTAAGGGGTTCATTTACGAATACCTTTTAAAACCCAGTTTTAACCATTCAGTGATGTCGCATTGACTGCCATGGAAGTCGTTCCGTTGGAACAATAAATTGAGGCTTTTAGACACTGGAATGATAACAGATTGAGAATGACGGGTTTGAATTTTTCGTACCGGTACAAGACTTTATGAAATTTTATTGATGTTACTATTTTAACTTCATTTTTACCTCCCTTGAAAAAAAAAAAATAATAATCTGATTATATGCCTCGTTTGACAATGACATTTTTCAAATGTAATTCAAGATAATCTGTCAAACTACAGTTTAAATGGGCCCTACAGCAAATAATTTGCTTTTTAACTTAAAAATTGTGTTTTACTTATTATAAAGTAATAAAGTTCTGATGACAAGGAACTTGAGCATATCATTGTAGCTTTCCCAGTATATGAAATCAATTTCCTCTTGCCAACAACGACCATAATCTTTCAGACTATATAACTAATGAACATAAATACGGTCCATTATAGACATTGTTTAAAAACCAATAATTGACTATTTATATAAAGATGAGTTGAAAGCCATTCAATGTTCAGACTGTAAGCGGTGAACGATTCCAATTATTCTGTAAGTTAGTTCTATAGTTCATTTCAAACGAGGAAACTTTGTAGCGTTAAATTCGACATCCATATCTTAATCCTTCTATTTTCACATGAACTTAAGAACACAAACGAGACAAAAAATTGTTGCTTAATTATCAAAAAGGTACTTCAGAACAAAAGCGTCATGAATAATAACTGGGAATCAATAATGTATGCAAAACACACAACTAAAATTTACACCAGACTTTGTTTTTGAAGACAAAAGAAATTCAAAAAACTTGTTTATAATGTAGGCTATAAGTTTGCGTAGACGCACTGATAATGGACCCGGGTTATAAACATTACAAATTGAGCTGTGATATAGTCAATATTATAAATAACGTAATTAAAATACATTAAATTTATATAAAATTATCTTTTGTTTTAGTTTTTAGTTTTACTGAAATCGACCTTCAGCAGTTAAAAACCTTTAAATAGTCCTTAATGTCACACAGAACAAAGCAAGCACATTGAATAGGTCAACATACATACGTGAACGATTATCGTTATACATTGTATTTAGGATTATAGGACAACATGTGTACAGAATAAAGGAATAAAGCAAAACACGTAAAAGAATTAATTGTTTAAAAAAGACTATTATTTTGTGATGATCGCATCAGGTAAAAGTACACCCAATGGTAAATAGTTGTATTAATATGACTATATGACGTTTCAAGATGTGAAATGTGTCATAGTTTGTATAGTATTAATTCACCGACCAGTGATAGCATTCATATAGTTAACAGTAAATCTATAATAAAAATAGTTTTACCAGAACAACAACATTAAAAATTAACATACCAGTGGTTTTTATTTCTAGTTTCATGCTGGATACTTATCAAGATCTTTCTCAAGGGTTACTTTTATTGATTTGATTCCATTAAATTCTTTAAAATTGTATCATTTTGTACTTTATATGCGTATACACTCACAGAGTTCTTAATTCAAATAACACTACTTAAATCAATTCGAACAGTAGGGAAATTCTGTCTGAAGACCATCTGGTGCAGTTTGAGATACACGTGATATACAGAATTAATTATTTCCATAAATTTATTGATTTAATATCAAACCAATTACCTGTTTCACGTGTCAAATTATCATAAAATAGTATTATTAAGCTTTTATACTGTTTTAAAGGTATAATTATTCTTATTCTATTTCCGATACAAATAATGATTGTATATTAAAAAACTAAAAACTAAAGTTATGCACATTAAGTAACATTCTATTAAGTGGCTGGTACCTGGTAATATACGACATACTCCAGAACTCCCTGACATCTGATCAAAACCTTCCTCACACCTGATCTACTGTCGAACTCTGCCATCTCTAATACCTGATCTACTGTAGAACTCTGACATCTCTGATACCTGATCTACTGTAGAACTATCCCTTCCCTGATACCTCTATCTACTGTAGAACTCTCCCATCTCTGATACCTCTATCTACTGAAGAACTCTCCCATCTCTGATACCTGATCTACTGTAGAACTCCCCCATCTCTAATACCTGATCTACTGTAGAACTCCCCCATCTCTGATACCTGATCTACTGTAGAACTATCCCTTCCCTGATACCTCTATCTACTGTAGAACTCTCCCTTCCCTGATACCTCTATCTACTGTAGAATCTCCCATTTCTTATACCTGATCTACTGTAGAACTATCCCTTCCCTGATACCTCTATCTACTGCAGAACTCTCCCATTTCTTATACCTGATCTACTGTAGAACTCTGCCATCTCTGATACCTGATCTACTGTAGAACTCTGCCATCTCTAATACCTGATCTACTGTAGAACTCCCCCATCTCTAATACCTGATCTACTGTAGAACTCCCCCATCTCTATTACCTGATCTACTGTAGAACTCTCCCATCTCTGATACCTGATCTACTGTAGAACTATCCCTTCCCTGATACCTCTATCTACTGTAGAACTCTCCCATTTCTTATACCTGATCTACTGTAGAACTCTGCCATCTCTGATACCTGATCTACTGTAGAACTCTGCCATCTCTAATACCTGATCTACTGTAGAACTCTCCCATCTCTAATACCTGATCTACTGTAGAACTCCCCCATCTCTATTACCTGATCTACTGTAGAACTCTCCCATCTCTGATACCTGATCTACTGTAGATCTCTCCCATCTCTAATACCTGATCTACTGTAGAACTATCCCTTCCCTGATACCTCTATCTACTGTAGAATCTCCCATTTCTTATACCTGATCTACTGTAGATCTCTCCCATCTCCAATACCTGATCTACTGTAGAACTATCCCTTCCCTGATACCTCTATCTACTGTAGAACTCTCCCATCTCTGATACCTCTATCAGAGGTATCAGAGATGGTACCTGATCTACTGTAGAACTATCCCTTCCCTGATACCTCTATCTACTGTAGAACTCTCCCATTTCTGATACCTGATCTACTGTAGAACTCTGCCATCTCTGATACCTGATCTACTGTAGAACTCTGTCTGCCATCTCTGATACCTGATCTACTGTAGAACTCTCCCTTCTCTGATACCTCTATCTACTGTAGAATCTCCCATTCCCTGATACCTTTATCCACTGTAGATCTCTCCCATCTCCAATACCTGATCTACTGTAGAACTATCCCTTCCCTGATACCTCTATCTACTGTAGAACTCTCCCATCTCTGATACCTCTATCTACTGAAGAACTCTCCCATCTCTGATACCTGATCTACTGTAGAACTCTCCCTTCCCTGATACCTCTATCTACTGTAGAACTCTCCCATTTCTAAAACCTGATCTACTGTAGAACTCTGCCATCTCTGATACCTTATCTACTGTAGAACTCTCCCTTCTCTGATACCTGATCTACTGTAGATCTCTCCCGTCTCTGATACCTGATCTACTGTAGAACCCCCCCCATCTCTAATACCTGATCTACTGTAGAACTCTCCCTTCCCTGATACCTCTATCTACTGCACTCTCACATCTGTAATACCTGATCTACTGTAGAACTCTCCCATCTCTAATACTTGATCTACTGCAGAACACTCCTTTCCCTGATACCTCTGTCTACTGTAGAACTCGCCTCCCCTAATACCCGATCTTCTGTAGAACTCTTCCTTTCCTGATACCTGATCTTAACTAGAACTCTCCCTTCCCTGCTTTAACTGTGTAACTCTCCCTTCCCAATACCTGATCTACTGTAGAACTCTCCCTTCCCTGATACCTCTGATCTACTTTATTTCAATTTTCTCTATCAAATGTTTCGATCTATTAGTCTGGTTGTTAAGTGTGATCACCGCGATCATCCGGTTTCCAATTGAAGTGAAACTTACCTACAAACCATGTTTCTTTAAATGGCACACGAACAAGACTAATCACACCATGTTTCAAATCAATTCACTCAATAATTTATCAGTAAATAGCGAGTATATGAATATAGTTTAATTTGTAAGAATGAATGAAGTAGAAGAAAAGAACCCAACGTGTCTATTGATTAATAGTCTTCAAAGCCATGAAAATGTAATAACCAAGAAAAACATCATAAAGAATGAATGAACATGTCATAAATCTGAACTTGTCGATTTTATTGCTGTCTTAATGGTTACGGTTCAATATTCTTAAGTCACTCGATCGGTGGATGTCTTGTGATTAGATGATAGATGGTGAAAGATTTCTAATAAGAGGATATCTCAAGCTTACTATTAAGATTTTTGTATATGGGGAATCTACAATACAGAAGTTTTCAATATTCACGAGTTGATGGCGACGTAACCCCGTGATCACCATGGTTCTAGAGATTGACTGATGATTAGGTTCCAGAGATTACCTGATTAAATTGTTGACCCTATCTGATATTTAAGCCCCGTAAAAAGGAGTCTATAGTCAATTAAAGCATCTACAGCTGATGATAGGTACAAGCTATTCTCCGATAGTTAGATTCAGGAGTTGGGCTTACAACTATTCTGTCGTAGATCAGCATTCAATTAAATGATCACCTGGTACTAAGCATAAGGTAGCGTAGATCACCATCTAATGGCTGGTTTCAAGAAATCATAAGAATTTTTTTTTCTATTTTCGGGAAATTTTCTGATGATAGGCCAAAAAAGAAATCTATCTGATGTTTATTCCAAAAACTTGTAGAGGTGGGAGGTAAGACACAAGTCATTCTTTCACCATGCACAATGTTATAAAAAATTGAGAGTGGGGTAGAAACGCCACCGATCATATATCAAATACAATAGGTTCGCGAAATAACACAATTAGAAATACAAAATTAGCACTTTCCATGTTTCAAAAAAAAAAAAATTCTAAAGAGCGTACAAGATTCATTGATTAAGAAATGGTATTTTCTGTATTTGCTTTCCAATCTGTTTTCTGATTTCCCGAGTGGTGTTTATATTGATTTAGTATTTCGTCTAATGTAAATCTTTAGATGTCCCTATCTAAACTTATCTAACATCAATAGTCGGTATTGTGAGGTATTTGTCAAACTGTTACTATCTATTCCCCTCATGATTCCAGCATTTCGACAAAATGATTAAAGCCATAATTTATCAAGCATCATGAGGATTAAACAACAAGTAGAAAGATATTCGAGTGAGTCACTTGCCGAAGATCATATCACGATGCAGATAGTTGTTTCTGATCTCTGTTTTTTAGGACTTAAAATTGTCCTAAAAATAGCAGTCCTACACCCTGGTATATCTAGAAATGTTACTTTGGAATAAGTTAGTCCACATCCGTTGCGGCTTTCAATATGTTCCTATTACTATACTTATTCCATTGACATTAATGTCCACAGTTCCAGATTGAATCGTCGGAACAACTGCAGCAGAACCGTTTGTATCGATCGACAATTCACTAAACAACGTTTTATACAATAAGGTCACTAACTAATAAAAGTTATCTAATGAGGAGATGGGTATCGATTTTCTGACAGAAACAAAATTCTCAAACTTTCATACTTCATATTCTGGGGTCTTTTAACAACATCTTGGATATTGACATATAAATTATCATGACCATACGAAACTACGTATGGTTCTTACATGTAAAATTACAGGGTAGGGTTATTTACACGTAAGAACTATATGTCGTTTCTTTTGATATCATGATGTATAGTTATGAGAGTCAGGTGTTTCTGAGAACAGGTTTCTGACTAGTAAATACATATAACACATAATGTGTACAAACCTTGGAATTCCGAGATTACTCGGGCAATTCTGGACGGTTCTGCATATCTCATAGCGGGGCTTTCGTCAGCTGGACAGTCTCCACATTGTTTGCTCTCAATATTCTGAAAATATATTCATTCAAGTCATTATAGTAAATTGTTAAACATCAAAATGTAAAACTACTTTCATAAAGTTATATGTTAAAGAAGATAGAAAAAAAAAGAATTGACAATACGATAACAAGTTGGCTTTTTGATATGGTGGTGCGGTGTATATTGATCATTAGTATTTATAATTATTTGCATACAGCAGCAGGTACATTGGATGCATTTGTATTTTGTGAGAAATACCACCGCAACTAGTTAAACATACATCACAGCTGTATGGAAGTATAGAATATGAGTTCAATGGGAGTAGCTATGTCATTTTGACTCTCGAAAAATCTGATAAAAATCAACACGAATGAAAAAGGTATGCAATGTACATGAAACGTTAAATTTATGTAAATTTCATACCCATCATATAAATTTTGTTTTGACCAGATACTAATTACTGGTAAAACAAAAGTTTTCTGAGAAACGAAGTAGTAACATTACAGAGATACAATTATTTTCAAAAAGGGGACGGAACCAGCATCAAGCAAACGGGCTCGAGAAGGTGTGGAACATTATAAATTTCAGAAATTCTTTTGCGTCGACAACAATCAAGTCAAGTCATATTTGTCTTCGTTTTACATATTGTTTTACAAAACATAAAATTAAGTGAACATTCAAGATAAGTCATCATATTTTCATTCTTAACGTCCACACACCATCTTCAAACTACATCAATTATTCATTAAAAAATCAATTATATCAATTATTAGCATAGAATGACCAATAATCAGTACGGTGCGGCTACCCATCTTTAGAAATGAAAAATAAATGCAAAGAGCCACCTATTTAGAGTACGGACAATTTGAATTTACCAATAATTTGACTCAAGATAATGTATAGAAAGTTTATGGAAAATATAATATATCGATCAATAGAAGCCATTGACTTCAAATAGATTAGCAATATATTGATCTGGATTAACAGCATTATAAGATTATAACATCTAGGCTACATAGGTTGCTGAAGGTAAATGACAGATTTTTAAAAGACTTTTCTCTGTAAATTATCCATATCGGTTAATATTCAATCCTGACAAGTTTTGTAGGTAAAATAAAGACTGGTAGAATTTTAACCTATCCCTATTGTTGACCAACTATTGCTATATTATGATGATCATTTGTCATACTTCCCTAGCCATATTTTATTACTTACAAAATCATAACCCAGTAAAAGCTTTGTCATGGTCAACTGAATAAGATAACGTCAAACTAATGATTTCTGGTGTAATTTATAAATTTTTAACATAGTTTTTACATACCTCACAAACTAAAAGCATTCTGATAGAAAAATAACAATCCAAATAATAACAATTATATACTCTGACACAAACACTGACAACTCATCAACTAAATATACATATTATTATCAATATTTTCATAAGTAAGGTTGTCATAACACATATCTTAACACCGAAAAGAACTTCGCCAAATGATTATTCTAAGTAGGTTCAAGCTTTTTAAGGTTAAGGGGCTCTATAACGATATATAGTAAACAGTCAACAGAGCGAATCAAAACAGGTTCCTACATGTAAATTACAAGTATAAATAAGTTTAAATTCTGTGTTGTGTTATTACACATTGATATGACCTGCAAAATGTGTCATTAATAATGAATCAATCATCGATAAACATTTTATAGCATCGATAACGTAACCGGAACTTATGTCAAGGCAACAACTTTACAGTTCAATAAGTTTTTAACGCACATTAATAGTCTACATGTTTGTTTCACTAGGTAATATTAGCTAGCCTTCTTATTATCATTCGGGTAAAAACGAAACAAGAGTTGACAGTATTAGTTGCCAGGCACCTTTGAGAACTACTGCATTCGACATAAAATGTATACTGTCGTCACTTCTGCTTGGTTTGAAGACGAATTGGTTGTCGTATTTTCATCTTGAAAAGTTTTGTGTTTATGCATATAAATAGACGAATATATTGTTATGAGTTGCATTGGTACAGTTGTACCTTTTAAATGAAGGCAAATTCAGTTGGCAAAATATATATATACACTAAATTATATAGAGGGTAGACAAGTAGATAGCACCTTGTACTTGATAAGTTATTTTGAGAGTGTACAATTTACTTTACAGCATACCCTGGTAATCAATTCTCATAGACCTTGAAATGTCTACATAGCTTACTGTACGCTACCTGAACTCATTTAAATCAAAAGATTTTACCAATTACTGTCGCCGATGAAAACCCAATCCAAGTGTTTACCAAGAAATTCCCTCGGGGTAATTAAGTCATTAGACATTAATTAATATATTCTACAGACAACTTCATGTCACAATGTTTCTTAATCGATCACGACTGGTAGATATTTACATAAAATGACTCAATTAATGTAAATCTTGTGATCAAAATATAAATCATTTTCATAAAACATGATATCGCACTCTGAAACATAATGCTACACTTCAAATTGCCTAGTATCAAAATCTATGGGCACTGATAACTTAGTGCTAGTAACAAAACTTTCATTTTTTTGAAAAAAAAACAAATGTAATCAGAGAGGATCCAAGTTCTAGCAGCGCCAGTCAATCTTACCCTCGTTAGATTATAATCATCCTATCGATGATGCCGCGATGAAAATATAATGTACCGGTATTTGAAGCAGTAGAAAGGATAACTCTTTTAATCCAAAATGACTCAACAAAATATACACCTATTATGCAAATAGAAGTAAAATTTGACATATTTCAAGAGAATGTCATGCAATTGTTGTGAGTACATTACGTCTATAGATGATTTAATAGGGGTGCAGCTGTTTCTATTTAATTCCACGATTCATGAGAAAAAAACTACTTAAATTTTCAATAAATTTTCAAACCAAACTGGCATGGTCGCAAAATGTCATTATTAATCTATGAAAGAATTATTTTACGGAATCATGTTTTACACGAGGGAATATTACAAAACCTTCAAAATTGTTAGCCCAAAGGTTTTTCAAGAAGAATAACATGCAAAAAGAAAAAAAAATTGTGTATATTTTGTCCAATTAAGTTTCCCATTTGGAAGTTTTATTGAAAAGATTCTATGGGGATAGGGTTGAGCGATCGGTCACCAGATTCGTTCATTATTTTTCTATGTACTGGTATATTAAAGTATTTGTGTAGATTAGAGTACCTTGGACCTGTTGACTGATACAACACGTGGAGTCTTGACATGAACTGTTGTGAACTTTAACCTGTCTAAATAGCAAACATATACACTGTCACGTCACGCCTCTCACTCACTATCATGGTAAAACTCGTGATATCAAAATGACTTATCAAAATAATGGTTACAACTATACCTAGGCTTTTCCCGGAAATATCACCCTTGCTGAACATCACATCACATCAACAAATGACATCACATCAAGACTACAAACGCAACTACATTTAAAGTGACGTTAATAATTAAACAGAAATGACCAATCAATCTTAGTTCACCAAGTTGGCACATATTAGGCTATGCATGAATTTCGGATATTCCTGACTGACTAGAATTTTAAAAATGAATTTATATCAATTCAAAAACAATACCAAGATTTTTAAAGGAGCATCTTCACTATCCGTTCGACGAATCACACCTTAGTTTCAGAAACAGGAATGTTATTAGCTTACATAATCAGTAATGGTGTTCTCAGCTCATGTGTATCCATAATTATTCACATATGAAAGTTAAAAATTCGACTCGAATTTGATGAGACTATGCCCTATATAGAAAACACATACATGTATATACATTGAAATAGACAGCGAAATTTCTAGTTTGAGGTATATTTGAAGGGATTATGCAATTTTCGTGCGTTTTAGACTTTTAGTACTTCTTAAGTAAAGACTATTAGAGCAAACTCAAGACCCAAATTAATCCCCGAAAATGCCAACCACTGAAAGAATATTAATATTTAAAATGATTTTACAGAGCACAATTTTCAATCCGATGGAACATTTCTGGGATGGAAGTGTGATTATTTCAAATACAAGATACCCAAACCTCATATTTCTATGGACCTCAAGACAGTCTTGGGCTTAATCAAATTACTATTGAAAAATTGTATCATTAAAGATATCCTGAGGCCTATGTTAAAAAAACAGGTTTTGTGTTTGTCTGAATTCATATGTGGCACCGTTATTCGATAGCTACATTTTTATCTTCATAGAAACTAAGAAAGGGAATTTGTACAGAGTCCAATGGTCCAACCTGTTGTTCTATTTTTAACCATATCGTAACACTTTCATCGACATATTATCGGCCGATAAAAATTTGACCGAATTACTGAGATAAGGCCACGAATACTTAGTATTACTAGGCTATAGTCTAATAGTAACAATTCAGGTATTTGAAAGACTCCTCTTGCCTTTCAACTGTTGTATCAACGGACGAGGACAAGGGATTTAAATTAAGTCAGATGTATAGTCTAGGCCTACATGATGAGGAACAATACACGTCAAAGTTCAGTTGAAAAATGTAAACAACACATTCAAAATGTAAATGTACTCTAGAAAATAACACTTACCGAATCGGATTCACATAAAAATGAAAATGCCAAAGATAACAGCAAGCTCATTGGTTACTCCCTATACGTAAAAATCACTCCAAGCCCAAAATTGTATCAAAATATTTCGAAATCAACTGTAGCTAAATCACACCATGTGGATACGACCTTGTCCTTCCTGCTTTCTCCCATCAATAACAACAAACCGACGGTCACGTGTTTAGATATATCGTCTGCTAATCTTTGAGTTTCGATTAAAAAGTCAGACGATAGTCCGAAACTTGCTGTTCCTCACCAGCCTTGATCAATGTTTGGGTCATAAATCAAAGACTTGTGGTGGGTTTACATATTTTGTAAGCAGGTCTATATCATTTATTCGTAACATTTGTAATCAAATTCGCCTGTTTGTCAACCGTCAAAAATAAATATTTAGGACTAGAAACTTAAGAAATTTCGGAATAGGACGAAAGATTGAGAGACTGGATAATGTAGACAAAAATATCCATTTAAGGCGGGAAAGTAAGTCAAAGCGGAAATGAAGAGATCCTGTCAGTGGTGAGGCATTAAATTGGTCTTTTATTCTATTTAAAAGGCAGGAAGTCGTCACAATATAATGATTCATGGTAGGCCTAAGTGGAGTGTAGCATTAAAGAAAAATCTACTGGGAATTCCTTTCCAAATGTGAATAAGACAGTTTTCAAAGCTTGAAATGCCACAGATTGACAGGTAATTGCGTTTGGTTATATCCAAATGTAAAGGGAACTTTACTGTGCAACGTGATGTAGCAAGGCTTATATTCCAATTATACCCGAATGGGTTTTTTTCTAGGCATATACCAGCCATTGAAGTCTGAATCACTAAGAAAGGGGAAACTTTTGCGAAAAATACGAAGACATATTCTATTTAAATCACTGTGCTCCCTATGGGAAACAACCACGGGCCTAAAACGGGAATTGAAAGTTTTGATAGGTCATTTTTTGATCTAAGCCATAATACTTACAGTTAGCAATTGTCAAAACAAGGGGATGTTTATCGCAGTTCCAATCAATGATAATATTGGCGTCTGTATTTGCGTCAAACGACAAAGCTGTGAGTATAGTTTGGGTATTGCAATTTTGGTCTGGGATAAATGAAAAGGAAGTGTATTATCTCCCTTTACCCATAATCAAAACATATATGGAAACCGGTGGATAGCAATGCCGATGGAATGATTTTATTGAGTCCCACTAGGCTATACCAGTAGTGTGGTTTTGGTAATGGTTATTTTAAGAATATTCAAAATACCATGGAGATACTCTTGATTTAATACTTCATTTAAAATTATTAAATTTTAATTTTCCATAATCTCATAATGTATATCATTTACTTGAAAGACAGTATTCTCTTTCATTTTCAGGTTAAATCTAACTGTTTCAAATTAACAAACGCTCTTCAGAACCATGGGGTTGAAACATCACGAACCTAGTAGGTTCATTTTATATTTTTGTTGTTAAACCTTGGTCCAAAACTGACTGACTCCTCATGGGTCTTTGCTTTTTGTTTTTTTTGTTTTTTGCAGCCTGATTTTTTAGGCAACATTTCTATTCTACCCATAAATGGCTTACTGATAACGGCGCAGTTACATGCCAATTTCTGGAATATATACAATGCCGCAATAATAAACGAACTGACCTAAATAGCTATGAGATATGAAGAATTAGTTCGGAATAGTGACTTAAATGGAAGGAGAGGCTATATATATCCTACATCATGGTTATGTTCAACAGTTCGTGAATTGAAAGTGACCTTTTTCCAAAACACAACAAAATGATTTTCCAGATTTGGTATCTCACCGGTATGTTGTGAGTGTTCCAATTTAATATAGAAATCTCATCTGTTTTACTGATACATAACATTTCACTAAAACTGGTATCCATGTGATCAATCCCACGTTTCACGATCTTCATGGAATCTAGCGGGATATCGTCCATCGGTTTTGTAATTCATAGACGTTTCGTCGCATGCATCAAAAGCAACCGATTCCAACGCCATTGCCTTCTTTCGAGCCATGCGTTTTTCGTGGGATTCTCGTTTAGTCCAACACAAACAGCAGCAAGTGACTACCACCAACATTAATATGAATCCACCAACGGCAGGAATGATTGTTTTTAGATAGTATATGGAATACGCCTCGGTTTGTTTGTCCCATTTCACTGCAATATCCGTCGTGTATGATAGAGTCACAATATTGGACACATCAGCAACGTTTCCATGTTCATCTCCGGTCCGGACAGCAACAAATATAGTGTTATTTCCTGCAGGTGGAATATTCAAAATGATAGTCTCAAATTCACCAGGTTCTTTTGGGTCGTCAAGACTTCCCAATATAACATGGACGTCGGTTATGACGTTCGTTTCGTCTATATTTTCACGAATTTTCGCAAAATCGTGTGAAGTGTGTATGTAATATCTGTGTGCTGAAAAGAGAACGAAATATACAAGTATCAAATCAGAACAATAGTACAGTTTAAGAATCGAATGCTAGTGAAACTTACAGCTCATAAATCATACACTAAAGTCAAAATCCACACACTAAGATTAATGAAGATAGAATCAGACACAATAATACAACTACGGATGCCAATAGACCGTTTTCAGCGAAACAAACCTTTTCCTCTATCCATATCGTTACCAACTGCTGTCCATCTTAAACTAGTTCGTCCTGTATCTTGATCAAATTCTTCGATCAATAAATCTGTAATTCTGGACGGAGCAATAACATCAGCAATATCCGCCAACGACTGTGGGAAACCTTCTACTCGGAATTCACCAGCAGATGATATCCTCTCAAAATCATCCACAGGGGCTAATTCTTGGTCAAAGTTTGGTGCTGAAACTAAATGAGAAAGATAAAAATGAAATGTGCAAAAATGAAATCAATGCAATTAGTGCAGGAGCTTTGATAAACGTTATTCCAAATTATTACAAAATAAGGAAATATTTCGGAGGAAAACCTAATTCAGTGAGCATCTTGTGCCATAAGCCAAATAAATAAACCAAGTACCACGATCTGAATATAACAAAGTGCACAAAAAAATATTCTGGCCAAGAAAACCCTCACCATGTTTAAATAATAAAAGATTACTCCTTACATGTTTCTCCTACAGCTAAAGCACCAGAACGATTTCCTCTGGTAACAAATTTTGTAGAATTACTCTTTCCAATGACGGTTATTTTCATATTGTAACGACCATTTCCCTGTAAATCTTTAGCTAATATATAGGCTGAGTATATTCCATCACCGCTAATTAAATCAGATCCTGTAATACAAAATAATGTTCTAGTGGTCGACACCAGCCATCATTCTTCACCTCACATTTTACATCGGCACTCGATATTTAGTGTGTCAGTTTGTGATTTAATACGTAAATTATGGTTTCAAATTAGAGAACTGTGTCGTACAAAAAATAGAACATAAGCTGCATAAACACTGGTAAAAGCTGTATAGTTATGGGTGAAATTCACTTTCAAATATATTTCTTTAGACAACTTTCAACGAAAGGATACTCACCAATTCCATTATCCTTTAGTGTGAAGAAACTTGAAGTCGATTTGGGACCCTCGAATGTTGCATAGACCTGAGCACCAAGAACCGGTGCATTACCACGTCTAACTTCAGAAAAGACAACAAACATTTCTTTTGGATTGAATTGTAACTCGGTCTTTGAAATCCAAGATTTAGTTTGGATACTTGTTGAACCATCTTCAACCGGTGGTTGCGAAGTGACACTTATAGATACTTGTGTACCTGTTCGCCATGGGTGTATTTCATATGTCCATACTCCCGTCTGTAATGAGAAGGAACGCAATGGGCTAAACTTATTGATAATTCTCATGATGATACAACTATAATATTGACGTATTATGGTACTGTTACTGTTATAACATATACTGTAAAATTTGCGTTGAGTGTCATATTGATGAAGGCAATGGAGATGATTGCCATTGATAGAAATAACAGCTGTTGAAGCATGGGTATGGTAATGTACCTTATTGTCGTGATTTATCTTTGTGCTAAATGATATGAATATACGCTACCTACCAATGCATTTCCATGTAATGGAACCTGAAGAAGTCCACCGGTTATATCGTTATCCAGGGAAGATGAGATATCCCTGACTTTAATTTCGGTGTTATTTGGACCTCGAATAATTACATCAATAGGGTCTTCATGCATGAATGTGAGTATGGTGTCCTTCCCCAGACTAGAATCAATGTGGAATGTGCCCTTATATGGAGTTGCACGATCAAGAATTTGTGTATCCGATACAACCTGAAACACAACATTACGAACAACGATTATTATATGGCATCAAATGAAACTGTTCAATGTATTGAATCATCCAAAAGGTAATTGTATTGTGTATATCGTTATGTGATTGATTTGACATTTTGAAAGAGAGCTAAACTTACAGTAACAGGAGATTCAAAACCTTCCGATGTTTGAGGCATAACCATAGCAGCTAAACTATCAACCAATGTAGATTGTCTCTGTCCAGAAAAGAAGAAGGTCCGTCCACCAGTTTCATCTGCTAATGCAGAAATACCGGTCTCGGCCTTCTGGCCATAGGCTAAAGCATGGACCATTACACCCTGCTTGAGTAAGGAAGGCTTGATATCTGTTATCCACGGTGATTCATTCTCTTGACCATCTGTAATCAGGATCAGTGTACCCCCAACACCACTTTTAGAATGCAGTAAGGCCTGTGAAATACAAAATGTAATACTTATAATAAGAAGGAAACGATTTTTTAATGTCCTAACCAAGTCTCGAACGCAAAGCACCAGAACATTAGCAATAGAAGAATAATCGCTGTTGGTTTGCCACCAAGAATAAACCAATGGCTAGATTTTAAAATGTAGTTTAATATAAGAGAATAAATATTTTAATTTAAACAGGCCAGAAATGTTTCAGGTGACATTTTAACAGAATGACAAATTATAGCTTTAAGATAATCAACAAAGAGGCGTTGCATTTTCATTGTATTTAAAAAGGTGCATTTAGCTATAAACATAAATTTGATCATTATATATAGAGGAATATAGGATTCGGTTAAGATTGTTGATATGGAAGAACAGGAACACACAAGTTTCATATAGAATATCTGATAAGAACCGGATAGTTGTAATCACCAGATCGCCAAATGTCAGTATAACTGCTCCAATCCAATAGTTGTTATATTCTGAAGCTAAAATTCTATTTGAAAAATGAAATTGCGATAACATAACTTGAATACAGTACGGTTAGATTAACTAAATTGACAAATGTGTGTGCATATTCTGAGATAATAATCCTGACACTTGCTGACTATAATTTATGTGACGTTACATCCCATAACCGTCACATGTGTTGATGAAGATTTCGCCTTTATTGTCATCTGCTGTCACGACAAGCAGGGGAAGTTCGACATTAAACCTGGTGAAGTTTATTTTTATTTCACCACTTGAAAATTAATATAATATGCTCTATAAACTGGTTTTATCCATAACATAATATTTATTACAACCAATTTCTCCAACGCGTATTTGCAGTTGTTCTACATAGATGAAGTACTGGTAGAATTGTATGCTTGTAGTAGTCCTCTTTGAAGCCCATCATAAATCTACATTAGGACAGTCAGTCACAGAGATCAGCATTCTACCAGTTCCCAACTACACTAAAGTAATTCATTTGACTAAAAAAAGTTTTGAACTGTGTGCATTTTTGATAGTGGTAACGGTTAATCTGATTCAGTTTCTGTGTTGAAAAAAAAAAAATTTGTTTCGAGTATGTTGTAAGAACCAACTTTTGTATTTACCAATAAGTAGATCACTCTGCTCTGCGGGGGAGCAAATTCTTGAACGCACGTAAAAGGTCGAGTACAAATTACGACTTACCTGGATAGCCTTTAATAATCCCCCTCCAATACTTGTCTTTCCAGTAGCTGTTTTAGGTAGTCTGTTGATTAACAATTCTCTATCTGCTCGAGAAGAAATCCGTACTAATGGTGACAATGTCGTTGCTGCTGTATTAAACTCAACTATACCCAGAGAGCTACCAGTTTCAATACTGTTCATAATGAAATTGGTGGCAGCTTGACGTAGGATTTTCAATGAGGATCCCTGTAATTAAACCAAACCACAGTATTATTGATGTTCACGTATAACTTTGAACCACAATAACTTCTTTGACCATTCACGGGTTTGATTTGGGCTTTCACTATGCGTAAAAAGTCTTCAGAATTACCAAAACATTACAAAAAAAGAACAATTCTTTCATCCTCAAACAAGAAATTTCATTTTTTTATTTATTTCGTTCCCAAGTTTATTTTCTCTGAAAATTGGGGTATCCGAAAGTTTAACTTCGTCAGAGACGTCGTGTCGATATAGCCTCTGACACCCAGATTTCTTTCCTCGCAGCTGTGCGTAGACGAAGTGAGACCAGATTATTGAGTCTACTATATACACATGACGTCATCAACGAATATTCAAAATAAAAAATCTCGTAAAAAGACTAGTCGCATTTTTAACTTTCAAATGCGGATATTTATGGATACACGTGGCTAAGATGGCTCAAATTTCGAGTGTAAGTTGTGAATACTATAACTGGTTAGCTAATCTAAACAATCCCCGTTTTGGAGACCATGGTACGATTAACCACGGACATTGACGAACTATGGACTTTAAAATGTTCCATTGAAATTTAAAGAACACGAAGGTTGTTGTTGTTTATTCGTTCCCTTGCATATAAAATCGCTGTAGTTGGTTAAACCGCACTTACCGACATACTTCCACTTGTATCAAGAACAAGAACTCTTCTTCGCGGTCTGACTTGAACATATCTAAACGTTGGAGTAGTATCAAAGCCTCGTGGTAATGATTTGTGTGCTGAAATACCAATGATTTGATTATAATGGTCGCAGGGTATAACTTAATCAAACAGAAGTTTAAAGCTTGATATACAACTTTGGATTGATCTAAATTATATAGTTATCCTGATTGAAGACCGCTTTTTACTCACCCATGAAAAGCAGTAATTTGATAAGATCATCTTACTTGATCTGAAATCGGGATGTTTCTTCATGACTTCCCATGCACTGCGGTAATTACACAGTCTGTTTTGTCTGTTTGGTGCAAGGTTGTTATGGCGGAGATGTACGGGTGAGGAATAGGCATCATCGCAGAATTCTACAACCTGCAATAGAAGAAAATAAATTTCGAAGTTGGTTTATCAAGCATAAGTTGGCGTCAGAGGAGGAACGTAAATTGGAACAATAATACAGATATATATACACACGAATAAAACTGATATGTTAAAAGTATAGCGAGGACTATCTTATATTGAACCTTTTATCAGCACAAATTATAATACCTTCATGGGGATAACATACTACTTACACTTTCTAGGTATTGCATGAACATAATAGAAGCTACGGCCTTGTTCTGTTTTATACGTGGAAAGAATTTACAGCTGGCTGACGGTTTTCCCGTAAACAGATCAACTAGACATCCTTCTTTTCTGTTCTCATTCTTCAATATACCCTCTACTTCTGTTGTACATCTGAAGTCAAAATACATGTCGCCCATAACGTACTTCAGAATCATAACATGAAAAAGTTGCTTAATTACAAGGATTGTTATTTATGGGTTCCAACCATGTGGAATTGAAAACTGAGTATAAGTGAACATACAGTGCATAATGTATTCAATTACCTGATAATTAATTGATACATCTTACCTCGTGGGATGCCACTGACCAGCATATCTATAAAATGGCGAGTCCTGGGGATCAATGGGATATTCATCAAATAATCCCCATCGCAGATGAGCCCATTCATGTGCTAGTGTTTTACCTGGAAAATATCAATGGAAATCACAAAAAACTACCACAAGAAATAAAACGAACTGAAGGAAGAATCATTGTAGACGACTTGAAGCTGCTACTAAGTTACTGATGAGAAATTCGATTAGGATTTTTTTTTCAGTGATACTTGACCTTCGTGAAGGTCAAAATATTCCACAGATTTCATTTTAGTATGTGCTCACCTGGTAGTCCCCATCTGAATGTGACCTCATAATTTAATAAATACTCTGGTGTTAAATGAATGTATAATCCTGGAGATCCGCACTCGGCATATTGTTTCACATATGGTGCATGTCCATAGGCTGGGTTTTCAGTGTCTATCAATATTTGCGCATGCTCAGTTTCAGAATCTTTGGCGTTTGCATAGAGACTGCTATGACTCCATGTTTGTGGTATAACTATTGTAATTTTTCGAAAATAGATTCTCTGTCTGGTGGCTGTGAAAAGAGCTTGTGATGTTACTGTTAAATAATTCTGAAATAACGAAAAAATACTAATTAATAGTAGGCCTGTGATGTGGTATATTTTGTTAGGTATCAGATATTATTCCTGTCTGTTAACAACATTGTGAACAATATCAGGTTATATATTGAACTTAATATTGAAATTATTTTTTTTACTTCTTTGCCTCGTTCCCGAAGCGGCTTAATTGTATGACTCTTAGGACGCTGACCAGCATGAAGGTGGGAGATGGACTGTTCCCTCCTATGTCGTATCTGTCACGTGTTGTTAAAGAAATGTGACATCTTCCTTATTTCAATGTCCATAGATCTCTTACAGTAGGTCTTTTCGTTTTTGGGTCAGTACATTTATTGTCAGTAATAGCTATAGAATCTATTGTCTGAAAACTGGTTCGTCTGCATATATAGCTAGTTACAGTAACATATATTAATATAAACCGAAGAAACAACGCAGCGAGATGAACTCACTAAAGTAATGCCTGCCAAGATACTCGCAGCAAATTGTTGAATTTGGACTTAATAGCTGAAGGCAGATGGATTGATGAATGACATGAGGGAACAGTCTTGTCCACCAGCAGAATAATATTTGACAAATATGAACGAACTTTTTCACACATAATTATTTGAAGAAAACGTTTTCGCTATTTCATGGTCGTTTAAACACAGTATGCTTCCATACAGTGGTCTATTGTTTTAATGACATAAATGATACCTTAGCTCTACAACCTGTCTTCAACGTTCTGTTATATTGGCAATAAAAAAAAACTATCCATCAAAACTACAAGAGATACTCGACATTAATAGTGATGAGATGGTAAAAGTTATAATGTTTCTTTTTATGGTACTCCGAAAGCCAACATTCTCCTCTGTTAAAATGTATTACTGACATTAAACGACGAATTTATCATGCATCTCTTTTTGTGTCATATTATTATATTATACTAATCAAGTGTTCTGTTCAATAAAAGATTTCCTTACATGTTTCGGGAATTGGGATATCATAGTATAACCACGTTTTACAGTGTTTTGATTGGGTAATATACATTATTACAAAATGTAGAAATAACACAAAGTGAAACATCCAAGCCATGCATTTTGATCAGAATTAGACCTAGGTATTTCTAGAAACATGATTTGATACGAATAGAATAACTTATAAGATCATTTAAACAAAGTTGATCATTAAACTGTCTTGATGCCACTTCTAGAACATGAAATGCGGTTGTAGATTTGAGTTGCCAAAAACGTACAGTAAAGTGATACATTTCAACATCAAAATGCACATGTATAATTTTGCATGTTGTCGTGTTATGATGTATGACTATTGTACTAGAGTTGTCAAATTTCCATAATTTTAACATAGCAATTGCGCAATTATTTTTTTAATCTCAGTCGACAAACATTCATAATAGTTTATGTAGTTTCCTGCTAATGATTTATATACTATTGTATCTTCTATCAGTATAATATATTTATACATTCCTCTTTATTCTAGATTCCAAATTATTAAAAGCTAATTCATTATCATTTTCTTTTTTTCAAAATAAGGGTTACGGGTTACTCCCCTTGAATTTGGCCTCCATCAATAATTTTCATTTGAGAACATCAGATCCTACTTTTCTTGAACCTAAAGCCATTTAATTTTATGCCATTACTTTTTTTAACATCACTATTGTTGAGATATCTTTTTTATATGTAATTTATACTCCATATCATTATCGCTTAGAAGTGAATTCGTTTCCACGATATGGAGGCTATGCTCATTGGTAAGGTTCACTTTTTACCTGTTTCAATTGGCTTCAATCGCATGCTCAGTGGGTTGAAAGTGTTCAAAAACCCATTAAGAAATTTAATTTTTGAATTCATCTGTGTTATATTATGTGATGTGGTAGTGTAGTGTAGTGTCGCCTGTCTGGTACCATGGTTTCAATTTTCAACCCCTAACACCAAAATTATGTCCAGTATTCAAAAAGGAGTTGACAAAATAATATATTTTTCATTTTGAACTCGGCCATTGCATTTATTCAATTGTTAGAAATTTCACTGTCTTTGTTGATTGTTCCTTAACGAATATCTGCGTCAAAATATTGTTATTGTCAATCAGATTTAGTATTTGTCAGTTAAATTTTATAGACATTCTTTTATAAACAACGCCATTTCAGATGTTTTTTTTTCTTGATATGCATACATATATAATATAATACTTTGTTTTAATGTCAAAAAACTGAAGAACCTATTTTTAGAATTTAAACTTTAATCTCATTTCTTTGTAAATCAATTGTTTGTAATATTATTTATTACATTAAGCCAGACTGAAATGTTGATTCAAGTTGGTATTACGTTTTTATACACATTTTCCCCCTTATTACTTAAATGTGATTCATCATCTGATGGTCGACCGACACCTTTATCCGATAAGCAAGGTTTAATTCACAAGGAACATCAAAGATGTAACAAAACACAACAGGCAATTACTGTTCTTCAAAACTTTCATCCTTGATTAACTTTATAATAAAATATTTTTGTTTTGGAAATATTTGGAAAATATTTGTCTGTTTTTTTTTTTAATATTGGTCTTTGATAAATTGTGACACACCCACCTCTAATCTTTTGAGTATATTCGGATCTTCTATGACATTTTTACCAATATTGATAACAACCTCTTCATAACCGTTGTCAACTAGTCTGATCGAGTCTACTGTAGGTAAGATTAACCAGCACAATATCAAGTTAGCATAATTCCAGTCGAACATCGTCGAGAGATGAAAATACAAATTGATTGAAACTTTTGATTATCCAATTAACTATTCTGAAAGAATCATAGTGGGGGTGCCAGAACATGAGACAGTAGTTCCTCGTCTCTCAGAAAATTTCCAGGAATATCCAAAATTACGAGGATCACAGGAATTTAGGTCTTGAAATTGCAGAAAAAGCGTCTGAGAAAAATGGAAGCCAAAAATGTTGAAAGGTAACGTTATATAATGATATAGAGTCACATCTGTGTGTAATATTCAGTCCAAGTGAAGGTTTGTCTCCAGGCGGTTTGACATGATTTAAGACGACAGGTAAAACTGTCAGCAGTCGTCAGGAATAAAAACACATTTACTCCCCATTTTAGACCCGTTTACAACGCTATCAACTGACAAAGTTACATGAAAAACATGCAATGACCGATTTTAATGTAATTTCAAAAAGGAAGAATTTTGGACTAACGAAAAAATAATATACAATTATGTATGCAATGTACTCAATGTTAGAATAATAAAGGACATAATATGATATAAACTACTATAATGTTGGGTTCAACGACCAATGCAATGGCCGTTTTTTTTTCTTCATATATTTACTTTCTAACTGCATTGAATTAAGAATTTAAATTTGTTAAAAATATAGTTTTGAATTGCATGCTACTTGTCTGTGAATATCTTTCGGGTTAAGGTTTGGAAATTTGACTTTTAAGATAAAGTAATTTGTTCATCGGTTGGCATTTTCATCAACCATCAACCCGAAGACAGTCTAAGACCATTTTAAAGTTGATATTTAAATTCATTCAGATATAGTACATTAAAAAGGATTCTGTACTCAACAACCGGTCTTTTAATATTGTGTTTTACTCTCATCTATCAAATTGTGAATAAAATACCTTTTTAAGGTCATAGTGAATATTAAATCTTATTTTAACTTGAAAAAACATAAGATGTATAGTTGTTAATTATATCATTTAATATTAAATCTTGCATGTTTTACATATACCATAAAATCTCGGTAAACTTTTATTTGCTAAAATAATAATCGTGTAATCACAAAGACTTAATAGCGCCAAATAAACTTTGATTTACCTGTGAATTAACTTCAATATTAATCTGATATTATTCATTATATACGTTTTTGCATTTAAAGGTGATATCCCAGACAGAAAAAGTGTCAGAGGAGATTTAGTTGTAATAGATGAGTTAGGTAACATCGCCGTCATATTCAAGAAGAAATACGCAGAAAAAATTGAGATAAATTGCTTATTTTGATATCATCCATATGTTTTTGAAATAAATATGGTGATTACACTTAAAAATATATTTGAATTTAATAAATACGCTTTCTCAATTGATAAAATTGTCATTTCAGATGGGTTTGAACTTGTTTTTTTTTTTTGTAAATTAGATGATATTTCAAATTTATGTCATATTCTTATTCTAATTATATTATTTCCTTGATTCGGTCATGTATATCATCCTCCTATATAATATCATATGCTCTTTTCGATTTCGAACTGTCTAGGGACCTCGGTTTATTGCCCAATCCGACCGACTAGGCGCTTCCGTACCAAGGCCTCCAACCTGCCTCATTAAAAAGGCAAAATCGAATTGAAAAATCCAAACGTTTTATGTTAGCTACGGTGGAATTCTTGTGGTAATATTTGCACTATTTAGCCACGAGTCGTTTAATTCAAACAAAATCGACTCATCATATGTAAGAAATTCCAAAGTATTATGCAATTTGTTATTCGACCAAATATTCTTTGATCTTATAGTAAAAGTACATTCCTTTCTTTGTACATGTCAGAATGTAGCTAGTGCTTATGTTAAATATTTCCATAATTTGTGTCATTGTTTTGTTTTAAAGAAGATCATTGCTTTCTACGAAGAGTAAAATCTTGAAATGAACTGGTATGATAGTAATTACCAAATTCAGTCAAAGTTTCATTAATCTCAGCATTTCCTCTCCGTATTATTTATAACAGCGGGGAAAGTAAATAACAAGAGATTACCAAAAATGACTTTTATGTACGAAAAACACCTGTAGCCTAATCAGAATCACGATTCCCTAGGCAAATAAATAAATTATTTCGACATTTGATGCACGAAATATGTCATCGAAAATAAGTGATGTTGCAATTCATTCATGTCCTTAACTTTGCGTAATCTTAATTTAGGCCAATGCAGAATTCAGATGGTGTGTTACCCCATTAAAATCTCTTGGCCAGTTGACCACGACGTTGAGAATTTAAAATAGACATTGGTGATATATCCGACATCTAATTCAGTAAAATGCTGGTGTAGGTTCGAATCTTTTTACATCAGCAACTGGTAACTTATCCCCTTTCCATGGTCTGAAAATAGAATTGATTGAATTGATAAAGATGACTTGAATGAAAACTAAAATGTACTACAACAAGTTCTTTCGAAGATAATTAGTGAGGTAAAATTCACAATGACCCCCTACACTTTCCTTCTACCTCCGGGAACACCGCTGTTATTCAGAAATTAACAAATATAATAGTAACTATTGTTAGGCTTATTATTTTAGTATTTAAGTACATTACGGTATATTGTAAATCAAATATATTTATTAGCTATTCTGTAATACAGGGACGTATAGAATGGTTGTCAACTGCGAGGATTCATCTACAAAATTGCAAGCCACAACGATGAAATAATTCTTAAGACACTTATAACTCGAGAGGCTGAAAGTTTATTCTTCCGCTCAAGTCCGTTTACAAAACTATGACGATCAAATAATTCCAAATAACGAAAATAAGTTGGACAACGGAACTCAATAAATTCTGTGGGGTTTGGGAGAGGGGATATTGTTATGTTCCTTTGAAATCTTAATGTCTATATTTCTGTGATAGTTGAAAGAATTTTGTTATGACTTACTTGTAATACATCCGAGATGCATTCTTTAAATCAATGGGCGTAAAAACCTAAAAAAAAATAATAAAAATTATCTATCATCTGTCAAAATTTGATCTATGAATGTGATATATTGTCTCTTTCATTAAAAATTGGGTTAAATATTCCCCAATGCCACCTAGTGTATTACAAATCGAGTTTGTTTTCTTCTGTCAATCTGTTGAAATTTAGGTTTGTTGCCTCCGTCAAACTGTTTGATGGAAATTACAAATGTACCCAAGCCGAACTGTTTGACGAAATTAGGTTTGTTTCCCGTACCAAACTGTTTGACGAAAATTAGGTTTGTTTCCCGTACCAAACTGCTTGATGGAAATTAGGTATGTTACCCATGCTAAACTGTTTGATGGAAATTAGGTTTGTTTCCCTCGAAATTAGGTATGTTACCCATGCCAAACTGGGTTGAATGGGTTAAAATGGATTGAATACATTTGAACTATGTTAATAAGAACGTTTAATGGAAATTACGTATGTTACCCATGCTAAACTATTTGATGAGAATATGGAATGTTACCCATGCCAAACTGTTTGATGGAAATTACGTATGTTACCCATGCCAAACTGTTTGATGGAAATTACGTATGTTACCCATGCTAAACTGTTTGATGGAAATTACGTATGTTACCCATGCCAAACTGTTTGATGGAAATTACGTATGTTACCCATGCCAAACTGTTTGATGGAAATTACGTATGTTACCCATGCTAAACTGTTTGATGGAAATTACGTATGTTATCCATGCCAAACTGTTTGATGGAAATTACGTATGTTACCCATGCTAAACTATTTGATTGAAATATGGTATGTAACCCATGCCAAACTGTTTGATGGAAATTAGGCTTGTTACCCATATCAAATTGTTTGATGAGAATTAGGTTTGTTTCCTGTATCAAACTGTTTGATGGAGATTAGGTTTGTTACCCATGCAAAACTATTTGATGGGAATTAGGTTTGTTACCCATACCAAATTGTTTGATGAAAATTAGGTTTGTTTTCCGTGCCAAACTGTTTGATGGAAATTATGCATGTTATCAATGCCAAACTGTTTGATGGAAATTAGGTATGTTACCCATGCTAAACTGTTTGATTGAAATTAGGTATGTTGGCCTGGAAATTAGGTATCTCACCCATGCCAAACTGTTTGAATGGGTTAAAATGGATTGAATACATTTGAACTATGTTAATAAGAACGTTTATCCAAGCTAAGATGCTAACTTTGTTATCTTGTCACTTTTTTGAGCATTATTTCACTGTATGAAAACAGCATTGTCAGTATTAGATCTGTAACCTATATCATCATGCACAAACAATAAACCTGATAATAGACCTAATGGTGGTGTCGATGTCTTCAAAACCAAGAATAAGTTTCACTTACAGGCATATTATAATTCTGTACAGGTTCAAAAGTCAAGCTTTTAGAAGACGACACTCTGCTGTGTAGACTTTTCCGTGTATCAGAGTCCAATCTTAAACCCTGTGACGTTATAGTCCTTGCTCTTGAAGCTATTTCCGCCTTCCTTTGTCGATCTCTTTCTAGTTGAGCTAAAATAAACATTGGTGTCAATGCAAAACTTATTATTTTGATATATCATAGGCGTTGACTAATTACCAACATGGGTGTTAGGTGAAACTGAATTGCCCAAGGGTGATCATACTTGAAGGCAAGTTCCAACGTCCTGACATTTGTAGATACGAACATACATAAATGTATTGACATAAATGTATTTGGAAAACGTATTTCGCTTGTCATAATAATTGTTCTTGTAACAGATGATTTAAGTACAAAAACTGAAGAAATCTCATCATTCATTGAAGTCAACCTAGCCGTAAATGGGTACTGATAATCCGTGAAAGATCAATTGCCAAGAACTAGCTAGTAAACGATGGCTATTTGTATTTGCGTTCTGTTCCGTTCCGCAAAACACAGATCAAGGGTAGAAATCTGTATTTTGCGGCACGGAACGGAACATGATTTATTCTTGTTCCGTTCCGTTCCGCAAAATACAAATAGCCGTAAAGGATCCTTTGTGAAACTAAATTGTTATCTTAGTTGTTTATTTCTTTCTTTTTAAAGATAGTCTTGAGAGATACATTATTGCTATTATACATACCAATAAAATCAGAGGCTGTCTTTGGTCGACACATATATTTTCTCACTGCTAATCCATATTCATTTCTCCTAGCAAGAGCTTCAGTCTGATCTCTACTACTAGCTGTACCACATCTAAATCCTTTATCACTGGACAGACTAGTTGTTAGTGTTGGTTGTGCTGTTTTTGGTCGAGCTTCTAACCTTGAATTCGTGCCTTAAAAAATATCAAATGCATGAAGAATCTTTTAAAATGGTTGTCTTATTTTAAACTCTGAAATATCAATATTTATTTATCTCTAAAACATTCCGTGGTTTTATCAGAATGTCCGTAGTTAGGACCACCAGGTGTAAAGGGCTGACGTAGCTTCGTCTAGTTCACCCAGAAATACTTGACCAAAGAAAGATGCCCTGAAACTTACCAGTGTTTCGCTGTTTCGGTACCCTGATTGGTGTGAGATTTACTTCGGTTAAAGTGTGAGGAACACTCAAGGTAAAAAAAAATCTGAAATATAGATACGTCATCTTCGTGTAAGTTAAACGTTATACAATCCAAAGTAATTGATTTAAAGTGATAATACATCTTAGAAAGAACATAAAATTTAAGTTCTCAAGAACGATCAATATGAGTATATATTCATCAGTTAGCTTACCTGGTGTCATGAAATTACAACAGAATCCCTATAAAATCTGGAAAATTGGAAAGTTCATAAAACTAAGTAATTATTGAAAAAACGCTTAATCTTAATATTAAGCGTTTTTCAATAGTTAATTGTATATTTATGAATAATTACTAAGTTTTTTGGATTTATCGGATTATATAAGAATCCTGTTATGTTATTTATGACACCAGGCATATCTACCGATGAATATATGCTCTTATTGCCCAAGTTTAAAATTCGTAAATTTTATGTTTATTCTAAGACGTAGTATTCCTTTAATATGCACTTTAAATTGTCGAAATTTCTTACTTAAAAAACGTAATCAAATTGTGGGTGAATAATGCATCTTACGAAGATTTCCATCTTATATATTATTTCGATTCCTCACGATTAATAATACACTATGAAAAACAATTTCAATTATTTTAATAATTCTCGAAGGTAATGACTCTATTCTTGTACCCTTACCTGTCAAAGAATTCTAATATATTAGGATGGTTGAACGTAGACACAGTACTGAAATTTTGTGATGCTGGGTCCATTTTCTCCGCCTACAGAAAAAAAGGATCATTAAATAGCTGATAAAAATTAATTTCAAATTCATACAACCATTTCAGATCCAAGTAAGATAAGTGATGATTTTAATCCTGATTTCTTGACATAAAGACTGATGATGGAGACTTTGACCCTGTAGTTATGGTTCACCAATCTCACGATCATATAATTTGTAGATAAAACAAATAGATAAGCAAATATAACTAAATAAATACGACATTGATTGAATATGTAAGATGTAAGATATATTGTTAATATTTGTGAAGCACTTAAAATGAAATTTTTAAAAAGAATCAGTTTAAGAATCATTTAATATGTTGTCAGGAGTATTTAAAAAAAAGAAACGACTAATTTCGAGAGAAAATAAATACATAGTAGATGGTCGGATAGAAGACAGTAGATGATAGCATGTTGCAGATGATTAACTTAAAAATGGTACTGATGATCATCATAAAATGGTAACATCAGCGTATAAATTGCAGAATATAGGCTAAAAGATTGCCCAGTGGTAGATTACAAATATCTAGCTAACAGATTGCAGATTATCAGCGAAACGATTGTTGATGATCTGCTAAACTGATTGGTAAATGGTAAAAAATAACCAGATATGCAGCTCAGATAGGGAAACAGTCTAACTAATTGAAAACTACAGATTATCTAAAGATTACACCTAAAGAAATACAGGCGATCTACAGGTTCGGACAGTGTGAAGTCCATTCAAATGTTACCTTCTTAAGAAATGCATTTTGGTCACCCGATAGTTTTGACGATAGCTAATAAAATATAATTGAAAATAAATTAGGAGTATACAATCAAAATATAAACATACAACATGCAACAATTAAAATACAACATATGACAATCAAAATACAACATATAAACATTATTATAAACAACATCAATGACATTAAACGATTATTACAAAGTATATGGCCATGTTTTTAGTTTACAACTGAACATAAAATGTTATCATTTCCATATTCTCAAATAAATCATTGCATTAAAGCATGTTTTATAGTGGTATAAACCGAATTACATGAGGTTATTGGTGAACCAAGATTGTTCATGTGAATAGGTTAATACAACATGGCCAAGAGATACATGCAATTTCTCTCATTTAGATGAGAATGTGTTATGGCTTGTTGACCAACGTAATTGGACTAAATATCTTTACCGTCGAGATGGAAATGAAAGCTTCTAAAGTTTCTTGCTAAAATACATAAATTTAATAAGTGTCAGGGGCGGAATCTATACAATCAATTGTATTCCCTGCAAATCATGTCTGTAAGAATCATGAATAAGGCTTCAAAAGACTCAACAAAATACATGAAATTGTTAGAAAAACTTACCAGTGGCCTGGAAATTGAACCACGGATCATTAGAGCACAAACATGATTAGGTTTGATTTTTAATGCCATGTCTAGATCTTCTAATGCCTGTAAGGAGAAAAATATTAGCATTACGAAACGTCAAAAGGGAGACAATAACCTTCTGTTGTGCTTTTCTAGTGGCACGTAACTACCATAGGGACTGGTTGAACCAAGATCACCTGGCTTGTGGACACTTTCCTAATTGCATAAAACCATACCATAGAGCTTTCTTCTCTAGAACTTCTGACTAGAGCTCGTATACAATATACATCAGGATTCTTGGTATCTAAAACAACAGCTTTCTCAGCATCTTTTAATGCTTTGACTAAGTTTCCTACAATAAACAAAACAAAAATTGTATTATTCTTTTCCCTCCACGAACATTATCAGATGTTTCAACTGAAGTTACTGCAGCCGTCAGACAGATACCACATTTTAATCATTTATGCAATACCAAACAAGTCAAATCCCATATATGATGGTAATTAGATGAACGTCTTATTTCCATTTAATTTCTTCTACAAGATCAAGGAAAATATAAAGTAACCGTTTGAATTTGAATGAAAGTCAGTATGTCCCTTCAAATGCAGGGTGTCACTTTTAAAGGAACACACCAGGCCCTTGTGAATCTTCTTATAGGAATCTTACCTATTTTAATGTAAGCGAAAGCTCTTCTGGTCATTATAGGTGTCATTAAACAACTGTTGGTTACACAGCCAGCTAAACAACCATTCTGAAGAACAAAACAATACCCTTAAGATCTGCCAGTTCATAACGTTGGATTCCCTTATAAAAGAAAGGTTTTCAGAGATTTAAAGGATTCTATCAGTTTCTGATTATGGCTGACTAATATGAAAAGTTTACCCTTGTCGCGATTTCAAAGCAGAAATGGGCCCACAAAAATTAGAATCATGTCAAATAATTATCAAATTCTGTAGCTGTCATTGTAAGTTACACTTTTTGGAAACGACGTTTTAGATCAATGCTCATTGTACCTTGGGAATAGATACAAGCTCGAAAGCTCTGGTATATTGTGAGATAGCCTTTCTATGTCGGTCTAAATGTTGGTAAGCAACACCAAGATGGTTATACAGCTCATATAACTGAAAATATAAAATTGTTAAGTGAACACATATCATATACAGATTTGACTGTCAGTCTTACTTTTCTGCTGAAATTTCAAAATTCTTATAAATTTCAAATTGTGAAGAATTCTTTCTTTGACCTTATATTGAAAACATTCTTTTGAAATAAAAATCTTCCTGTATAATCTGGTAAAACTTGTTTTATATGTAAATATCGTTTGCCTTACCAGCATGTCATAAGAAGGTGGTGCTTCATAATCTTCTGGGAAATGTTTTAGATCTATCAACCACAGTAACTTTTCATAGCATTCAATAACCTGAACCACAATTTTAGTAATTATCATAAGATACAAAGGATAAATATTTTATCTTTGGCACCTGAGTGGGCCAATTGAAAAATTGTGCCAGGACAGCGGAAATAACCCACTTCAACTGTCTCGGTTTATAATGTTATAATCGATCGCACAACCTTTGTTTTGCATCATGTAAGCCGAATTTTTGAAAAATTTTGATTTTAGCTAGCTTCTGTCAAAAAAAGTTGTGGTATCTATTTAAAGATTATACATCGTACAACCGGTGTGAAAAATCTTAAAATATTAATGTAAATTTTAATGTAAAAGGTATAAAGAGGTCACTTTTGCAAATACAACTTCAACTAACATAAACTAGCCTATAAACTCATACCTTTTGCCATCGTTTCCGTCGTTCAAATATCATGGCAGATCGCAAATATGACGTAGCTTCTTGATTTAAATCTTCTATAGAATTAAAATTCCATTGGTCGTCCTCATTAAAGGAAATCATGGTGATGAAAATATTAAATCTTGCCGAAAATATTATCCAATGAATAAAATCTCCTCGCTGCCCTTTTTTCCTAAATTTCCCTCGTTAAAATCAATTCCAGATTCCTTTCTGCAAATAGGAAATTGACTGGAGTCAAATCTTACTTCTTAAGGCAAGTACAGTAAGTTAAAAAGTTGAAATATAGCTTACAACCACGACACTGTATAATATATACAAAGAAAACTAATCCTGTTTTTCAATAGATCGGTAGAGAAATCGATAATCTCGCACTGATTTATTTCACTTGTAAATCTCAAAGTCTAAATAAAGATCGATCATTTCCTTTGAATTAAGACTGTATTAAAACACCTAAATCAGATTTGATATAAACTGAAAATCAAATTCCTAAGAGCATCGAGATTGAACATAAATTTTCTAACTCTAATTTTTAACAGCCTTTGTAGCACAGAAACCTATCACTCTAAAATTCAGTTACTATCTTACCATTAGTTCTGAGATTTTTCTCAATAACTTCCAAAAAACAGTTTCTAATGAAAGGTCGGTTGCAGTTATCTAAATCCAATATGTTTTACTATTACTGTTAACTTTTTGCCTTGTTGCTCACAATAATATTCTAATAAATGTAATTTTTTTGATTGCTGATTTCATTCAACATCTAATTTGTTGATCACAGAGTTAACATTAGTTTGTTGACCACGATCTTTCACATAACAAAAAAAATTCTTTAGACACGTAAGTTATCTTAAACGTTGCTAGTTAGATTTATTAATTGGCCTTATCTTGGTCTATATCTTATATTTTAGTCTTATCACTATTCACACAAATATAACATATAACTAAAGGAGATATATAACTTAAACACACAAATAACTAATAGCACCTAGTGAGATCAAAGCTAGTTATCTAAATGAATTTACCACATATTCTCTAGTGTTCTGTTGTGTCGTATCTCGTTTTGAGGACAAATATTTAAATATAAGTCTTTTTATGCAATCCTAATATGTTTGAATATTGCGCATAGACACACGTCACTTTTGAAAATCAATATCCAAGAATCGAAATTCCTTCCAAGATCAAATTACATCCGACGATATTGCAATCGATTCCTCTTTTCTCCTATCCTTCAGGTAGGAGTACCCATCCAATGAAATGAACCACCTCTTACAAATTTCAAACAACTGTAACAGTAATAAATTTCGTTCAGTCGTTATGTTTTTGACACAGTTTACGTCCACTCTGCCTTCATCATAGGAATGAAGACACAATCGAACAAGAAAACACCAAGAGACCTTAAGTTGCGTGTATTCCACTCTTTCAAGTCAGAAATATACATAAGTATATATTGTATTACATTTTTTAAGGACTGTTTCTAACACAAGTAAAATTTATGATCCAATATCTAGGTCAAGAACTTGCCAATGTAGGGTCCTGTAACACTAATCCAATAATCCACCGTGAATAATCTGGGTTTATGTGAGATTACCTAGGTCAAATAGGCAGATTAGTGAAAGTCATATAGCAATGAAGATTTACAATAGCTCTGAATAACTACTCGTGAATGTCCCTCGCAACAGTCAATCATATCTTTATGATACGCAACCTTTAACCTGCATTGACATGCTGTGAGACACAGACTTAAATCATTATGCAGGAACAGCTATGTGGATAATTTTTTTATTGAAAGGACAGATTTGCCTTTTTGATGGGTTGATTTGAGTCTTGAAAAAAGTCTTCAGAAGTATTAGAAATGTATATACGAAAATCGCATAATTCCTTCAAAAATCCAATTCCCGTCATTTTCTTAGACTAAGGTACGATCGGTAAAAATAATGGCGCAAATGTTCCTTTAAGGGGCGTAAGAGACATTGAAATCGAAATAGATTTTGATGTATTTTTCCCTGAGTGAAATAAAGTATCGCACATAAAGTTTATAAGTTCTATAACATTTTACATCACAATTCCTCGTTTTGGGGAATGACTGGCGTCCGGCATGTCAAAAAGGAAAATTAAAATATACTTTCAAAATTTATGATGAACCGCTATAGATTGTGTAAGTTGGAGATCAAGCAACTTGCTCCGACCACTAAGGAATATTTTCTTCTTAAAATTGACCATATAAGACATTTTGTTGCCCGAAAAAGGACATTAACCTAAACCCAGATTGACTTTCTTTTGTATTTAAGGGTATAATAATACATAGTAATAGGCTTTTATCTATTTCAATAAAACACTCAAGTTTATTTATTAGGTATAATAATATAATAAATATCAAAAATAGTTAGTAGTTCACATATTAGAAAATAATAAATATATTATAACTTGGTTATTAAATAATTTTACACATTCTTCAGGTATGTCCAATTTAATGAACTGATATCAGACTTCTTGTTGAAGAATTGGGTGAAATTCTTTGACTGAACCTTGTTGATTTATTCCACGTCTTTCTTGAAGATAGTAGGGCTGAAATCTATACGCACAGTTCCCTGCTCTGAAGAGGTAGAAGGGTTACAGAACAACATTATTGCTACAAATCATCTATACTTTTAAGTATTTGAAATGAAAAATTTCATATTTAGTCATACTTCAAATATTAACATCAAACACCAAACCTTTGCTGTAAATGAAGAAAAGGATCACCTCGTATAATATGGTCCCAATGTGGTTAAAATCTGTCAATAAGCATGTAAAAGCCAAATATGAGGCACTTTCATCGCCTAGAACCAGTTGAGGCACGCCTACCTGCCAGAAAACTCTGGAACCATTCTGTAAGATATATTGTATCTTTGCCATGGGTAATGGGAATTAAGCAATGTCGAACAAGGCATGTGATAGTCACTAGCTTGATTAGGAAGCGCCAAAATGAAGCACTTTTGACTGTTGATACAAATTTAAGATCGCCCGTCGCTCATACCATTTGAAGCGACTTATTTTGACCGAATTTCACATCTCAAGGGAGGTAACTTGTTCTTCATTTTTTTTAATAAATTGTGTTGTTGACTCACTCCACTAATTTATTTGCCATCTCTTCCCATGTTAAAACACGAAATTCAACCTTCTACAACTTTTTCCAGAAATCTGAATGAAAGCTTTCCAATCCTTAATGTCTCCTAAAAATTCAATATGTGATGACCATGAAAAGTTTGAGCTACTAAAATTGGAAGTAGACCACTACCGGTTATACTCATCCGCTAGAGTTTAGCAGTTCACAAAACGAGTTTTTTGAGAATTAGCCTTCCGCCTTTAGGTCTCTCATCATCTCACCAAATCTTAAAGATAATGCAATTTCAGACATCAAATTCCCAATCTAGACAAAAAATTACTCAAAAATAGGCATGATAAAACCCCAAAAGGGAGAGAGAAAGAAGATTTCTAAAAATAGCCCGGACTACATTCGTTCATTTGCATAAAATGTTTTAGTGGAGTGAGCCCTTGTAGGTCACTTTGAATATATTGATGCTGAGTTACAGATGTACTGAGTCTTAAAACTGTTAAGAGGTGTTAGGGGATTTTAAAACTTGTTTTTCATACAAAACCATTTAACATTTAATTTCTTAACATACATTTTGCTCTCTTTAGATCTTAACATAATATACAGGAATAGTGTTATATTTATATAACATCTATTAGTCTTAAGCTATCCGTTTTATACCCACTTAAAAGAACCGGAAGTGGTATGAGTCTATCAGCTGATCAAGCAAATATATTATACTCAAGAAGTGACTTAGTTTACAGCTGACAGCACTAATAAGATTTCGTTAACTACAATATTGATATACACACCAATAGACATAATTATAGAGATTAAACGAGTTAATAACATTGTTATAATAATAAATATTGTTAAAGTAACAAAAATAACACCGGGCCGCAAGCAAATTTTATACTGAAAATCAATCAGGACATAAATATAAAAAGTATGTTCTGATTATGGCTATTTAATATTAACGTACATGTATATCAAACCATTGACTCCTTCATTAATGTCATGTTATAACACCTTAGTTTTACATACTTTCGATACGCATATTGCACGTGGGATATTAGCCCCTTTTGTATACCCCACACTTCCTTTAAAGAACAATAGCGTCGCCATATTTGCTTCAGAACACTTTTGACATTGTTCGGCAAGTCAAACTAAATTGTTTCCTATTATAAACAGTGTATATACACATTTGGATTTCTGATGTTGATGATGATTTGGGTTTCTATTGTAGATGATAATTTGGATTACTGATGATAATGATTATGACACATTATAAAGACATGGATGATGATGATGGTGATAATGATGAAGATTATTATCATTATTATTCTGACACATTATAAATATGTGGATGATAATAATAATGAAGATGATGATTATGACACATTAAGATATAGATTGATCCGCATCTGATACTAATTGCCCTGAATTTTCCTGATTTTCAGAAGTTCTAACGTCATTTGTTTCGTCCGGTGGTTCACTGTTCACAAGAGCACCAACAGTGTCAGTTTGTACCAGGACGTCAGTTTGTGTTGTTTGATTAGTCTGTGTTTCCCTGCTTGATTGTCTGTAATACACAGAGTAAAAAACTTTGATATCGTTCGTTATTTTAAAAGTGTCAGTATTTCTCATGACCTCGTCATAGGTTGGTAGATCAATCATATAAATAGCACCAGATTCTCCGTATTCTTCTGGTCGACTACGATAAGGCCAGGGTCTCGCTGAAAAATAAAATTCGTATACACTGTACCAATCACGTTTAAATTCTGACATCATATAACTGGAGTATATTTTTTTAAATTTGATCTTCTGTTGCAGCTTTGTCAGTCTTAAAGGGATTGTAAAGAGGTTTTCTTAACTTGTATTGTAGCAGCGACACCCTTAGAATCAATTTGCACTATTCCAA